AGGCTCAACCTCAACATTTCTTCAGTACACTCGGAGCAATTTGACACTCTCCAATAATTGTGAGCAGCTATCATTAAGGACTTCAACTGAATCAAGTACTCCTCTTTTGCCATTCTTGCAATTTGACTCAGATGGGAGCATTATATCTTACAAGTATGAAGGAAATCAATGGATTAAAGACATTCATCTAACGGACTATACAAACCAGATAAAATCATGGCCAGGAAATCCTGCATGTAAGGCTTGTTCTCGATATGAGATCTGCAATGCCGACAATGGAAGCTGCAGCTGCTTGAGGGGTGATAAATATCACGATAAATATCATATGTGTGACTTACACACTTCGAATTTTGATGTAAGTTCTTGCTCCAAATTTGACTTCCTCAGACAACAATATCGTAACTACATTGTGATGAAACACAAGTTTTCTGGTATTGGATATTATAGAACTGAATTCATGCAGCCCAACCAAAGGAATTCCTCTCTACACAAGTGCACAGAAGCCTGCTTTGTTATGAATTGTAGCAGGTGTATGTCACTTATTTTCAATGGCGATACCAAGGACTGCTTCTTCATTTCGTATGATATATATGGGAGCTTCTACAAAGATGACACTACCAAAAACATAACTCTTATCATCAAAACTCTGAAGGCTCATCATCAACCGAAACTTTACATTATAACTCTTACCATGACTTCCACAGTGATATTCCTATGCTTCCTAGCGGTATGTGCTCTTGCGTTTAATGAGCGCAAGCTCAAGTTCAATCCGGCAAAGGAGATTGAAGCATTGTTGGCTAGTATGCAAGGCCGTTTGCCTCAGAGATTCTCATATACGACATTGGATACTGCGACAAAAGGATATAGCACAAAGCTGGGAGCTGGGGGATATGGATCAGTTTACAAAGGAGTTTTGAGTGATGGTAGAGTTGTGGCAGTCAAGAAGCTTGACTACAGTGGAACGCAAGGGGCAAAACAGTTTGTGACCGAGATTGCTGGAATTGGAGGCATAAGTCATGTAAACATTGTTAAACTTTGTGGCTTTTGCATCGAGGGAGCAACACAGTGGCTGCTGGTTTACGAATTTATGCCCAATGGATCACTCGACAAATGGCTTTTCGAGCAAACTTCAGAGAATTTATGGCTCAGTTGGCAGCAGAGGATCGACATTGCCCTTGGCATGGCTCAAGGGCTTGTGTATCTTCACGAGGAATGCAGGGAGCCCATACTGCACTTGGACATCAAGCCCCAAAACATTCTGTTGGACACAGAGTTTGTCGCAAAGGTGGCGGACTTTGGGATGGCAAAGCTGCTTGAGAACCGCAACGAGACGCAGGTCATGACGACCATGCGGGGCACTCCAGGCTACATGGCTCCGGAATGGCTCACACATTTCATGGCTACAAAGAGATGCGACGTTTACAGCTATGGAAAGGTACTTTTGGAACTAATTGGGGGTCGCAGGAACATTGATCTCTCAAAGGCTGTGAACTCTGGGGACAACACTCAGCCGGACGAGAGCTGGTATTTTCCAACTTGGGTGGTGAACCAGGTGGAGAAGGGGAACTTTCTCGAAGTGATTGACGAGAGGGTGAGAGCAAGTGCCAGTGAAAACTATCACCAGGCCAAGAAAATGGTTCATCTTGCACTTTGGTGCATTCAAGACAATGCTGATGCTCGGCCATCCATGAGGACAATAGTGGAAGTGTTGCAAGGGCATTTGGATTTGGGTTCTGCTCCTTTGATAGCAAAAGTTGCATTTCGCTAAACATGAGTATATGATGTTTCAAAATTATATAAACATATTCTGTAGTACGAAAGTTGTTGTGGGATGAAGACTGAATGCAGCCACATATTTGAAGCAGAAAATTACCTCCGAAAACAAGTGCTTGGTCACATGGTGAATTTAAGTTTAAATTTAAAGAGCTCTTCTAGTTGGTGGAAACCCTTCTCCCGAAGATTGACCACTTGGGAGACTTTTCTCCCAAAGACTGGAGACTGAACCACTTTTTAGCTCACGAGCTTGCACCACTTGGGAGACCCTTGTCCCAGAGACTAGACCACTTTTTAAGTCACGAGCTCAAAAGTCAACATAATTATCTAGTATTTGAGAGTTTATTTAAATCTGCTTTCATAGCTCAGCCTGAGTTCAACTCTCCGTGAACTCTCGATATCTATTTTTCCAGGTTTGCTGCAAAGAGCCAGTTCGTGACGAGTGGATTCGTGGCCGCCATGCTCTCCGGCCTCACCGAGCTGTCGAATCGATCGCCTGCTCGTGCTCGTTTCCATCCTGCCAGCAGCAGCAAAAGAGGGGGATTTCCATCAAACCCAGGGCCTTCGCGCGTGGCTGCGCTTTACCAAGCCTCATCCTTCCTCCTCCTCAGCCTCCTCGGGTAAGAGTAACAGCAGCAGGAGCAAATCCAGAAAGCTAGAGCCCAGCAACGGCAATGGTAGATTTAAGAAAAAATGTAGCTTTGGCCTGGTGGTGGTGAATTTGGAGGCTTCGGTGGAGGTGGTGGAGGAGGCGGCGGCGGTGGTGGTGGCGGAGGCTTTGGAGGAGGACCTGGTGGTGGAAATTCGCTGTGGGAGCTTCTGGGGGCAGCGGTGCCAGGGCCGACGATAAAAACAGTGGAGATTGGGATCCTCACGGTGCTAAACTCGGCCTCACGGCACCGGTAAGCTGGCTCAGCCCCAACAAGAAGTACAAGCTTTCCGGCGTCGATCTCGTGGATCAGCGCAGCAAAAAGGCCGTCGATGGCAAGGATCCATTTTTCGAGCTTTTCACGCTCCGGACTGGTGGGGATTTCACGAAAGACCAGCTTGAGTCGCAGCTGGAGAACCTCGTCAACTGTGGCATGTTCCAGAGGGTGGAGATGGAAGGCGTCACTCAGGCTGATGGGACTATAAAGATCAACATCAACTTTGTCGAGAGCCAGTGGCAAGCGGTGAAAAGTGTGCGGTGTATCAACGTTGTGCCGTTGGCTCAGACCAAACAACCCGATTTTAACAGCATGACCGAGAAGCAGCAGCAGGAATATCTTGGGAAGCAAGAAGAAGAGTACAAGAAGCGGGTGAGGAAAGCCAGGAAGTGCATGCTACCGAGAAGGATCAAGTAGGAAATTTCGGGCTGGCTCTCCGCTGAGTCTCGTGTTACTGGAGAATGCTGCAGAGAATCCGGGAGAGAATACAGAAGTGATATCAGGGTATGCGTGCGCTCAAGTCGTCAACTTTGGAAACCTCAATACGAACGAAATAGTCTGTGAAGTAGTGGAAGGGGACATCACAGACGTGCAAATAATGTTCCAGGACAAGATGGGGCTTCCAGTTGAAGGGAACACTCAAGTCCCTATCATAGAGAGGGAGCTTCCTTCACAGGTATTGCTTGTTTATTTTTTCTGGTGGTTCTCATTTGTTGTTTTTGCTGGATGCAGCTTAGCTCTGGGAAGATCTTCAACATTGAAGCGGGCAAGAAAGCTTGCGCAACATCAACAATCTTTCCCTCTTTTCTAACATTGAAGTCAATCCAAGGCCGGATGAAGAGATCGAGGGAGGTATTATAGTGGAAGTGAAGTTGAAGGAGCTCGAGCAGAAAACTGCTGAGATCAGCACCGAGTGGAGAGTGCCAGGGAATTCTGGACGTCCAACCCTGGTGAGTCACTTTATATCCAAACCGTCTTCACTGCTTATGCGGTTTCGTTGATACAGGCCTCGATCCAGCCAGGTTGTAACGTAACCTTTGAGCGTCGGAATATCAAAAGCTTAAACCGCACATTGATTTGTACTGTCACGTCGAATAATCTCTTCAATCCCCAGGTCCGGTACTTCCCTCTCAGAGCTTTTTGATATTTACGCACCGCAATGTGGATTTGTAGGATGACTTAGGATTCAAGATGGAATATCTCGACGGTTTGACCGATCCCAGGGAGCGTACGCTCAAGGCTAGCCGTTTTAACAGTCGCAAAGTCAGTGAGGTGTTTACTGGAGGTCCCGGTTTGGAAGACGTGCCTGGTATATGGGTCAATCGAGCTTAACCGAGGTAATTGTGACGCTTGCTTGGCTTGTTATATACTCACTGCTTACCTCGTCCAGAAGTTCACCAGGCAGAGCAAGCTGACGTATGGATTTGTCATGGAGGAAGTCACAACGCGTGACGAGAACAGTGCCATTTGCACTAATGGAGCTCGCGTGCTTCCAAGCGGGGCTGGACGGTCCCCCGACTACTCACAGCGACACCGGGACTGACCGGGTGGGATTTTTCCAGGCCAATCTCACACACGACAACACAAAGTTCGTCCAATGGCTCGAGGAACGTGTATGGGAAATTAGCGCTCTTTCTCACTGCTTCCTGGTATGATATTAAAACAGCTCGATCAAGGACTGGGGAAGGTTTCCATTTTTCAATCGACACCAACTTACATTGACTCGGTTTATAAAACTGGGGACCGAAGATAGACACGGCGAGCAGCCACCTCCGGTTCTGGTGATCCACGGTCACTACGGAGGCTGCATTGGCGATCTTCCAAGCTATGATGCTTTCACTCTTGGAGGACCTTACTCCTGAGATGGTTCTTTATCAGAGACCCTGCTGCTGCGCTAGAGCTACTGCTAATCTCCTAGACTCCCATCCCCTGGGGCAATGCTGCTCCATATGGGAGGAGGAAGGGAGCAGCGGTCGAGCTGGTATCAGAAGCTCCGGGCGACAGCGGCGGATTTCACGGTCAGGGGATCAGTTGCCGCCGAGAAGAATGCGCCAAGTTTTCTTTTTTCTTTTATTTTTTGAAAATTTGTGTTAGAACCAAACCTTTTTTGTTCTTCTCTGCTTCACACGCAGTTAGAACCAAACGCCTTTGTTAGACTGTTTAGAATGGGATGAAATGTAGATGCATGCCAATGTTTGTTGTTGCATCGCATCACAACGTATTTCTTACGCTGTCTACCTACACCGAGTCAAGGTAGAAGAGTCCCACGCGGCACGACTGACTTCGGTGTGATTTATTTCAAGGCCCTATCCAGAGTTTCTCATACATTATCTCTACTTTGGCTAACACATGGACACAGTAGTGGTGCTGCTATTTCTTTTCCCTGTGATTGTCATGGGCATGAGGTATGAGCTTCCACCTGACTGGTATTTTCGACAATTGCCAGGCAACAATCATAGAAATTATTCAGTTTTTATGAACACCACTGAAGGCTTTGAAATCATGAAGGCCGGGGGCAAAGATATTGTCAGTGACAATGGGAATTTCTCACTTGCATCACACGATCAAGGAAAATACCTGCTATTGCATATGAATCGCTCAATCTATCCTTTATCCATTCGATTTTCGTTAGAAGATGCAGCTTCCCTAGTGTTACAAAACTCTGGAAATGTCCTCATTTATTTTTACAACGGCAGTGTGTGGCAAAGTTTCGATTTTCCCTCAGAATTTCTCCTCCCAACCCAAATTTTGAAAACAGGAATGCGCATAATGAGCAACGACTATGAGACTCTTGTTATTGTCCAAGATGAGGGACTGTTTTGGATTTCTCCCTCTGAGTTTTATGAAGGACAATTCCAACACCACCAAGCATATCAAGCGTGGCGATTTACTTCTACATGTGAAGGCTCAACCTCAACTTTTCTTCAGTACACTGGGAGCAATTTGACCCTCTCCAATGATTGTGAGCAGCTATCATTAACAACTTCAACTGAATCAAGTACTCCTCTTTTGCCATTCTTGCAATTTGACTCAGATGGGAGCATTATATCTTACAAGTATGAAGGAAATCAATGGATTAAAGACATTCAGCTAACGGACTATACAAACCAGATAAAATCATGGCCAGGAAATCCTGCATGTAACGATTGTTCTCAATATGGTATCTGCAATACCCGCGATGGAAACTGCAGCTGCTTGAAGCCCGATGAACATCAAATGTGTGAGTTATACACTCGCTCTGGGTCCTTAGCAGGGGGTTTTTGGAGGGCGCATTCTTATCTAAGTTCTTGCTCCGATTTGGACTTCGGAGAACAATATCCTAACTACATTGTGATGAAAGAGAAGTTTGCTGATATTGGATATTATAGAACTGAATTCATGCAGCCCAACCAAAGGAATTCCTCTCTACACAAGTGCACAGAAGCCTGCTTTGTTATGAATTGTAGCAGGTGTATGTCACTTATTTTCAATGGCGATACCAAGGACTGCTTCTTCATTTCGTATGATATATATGGGAGCTTCTACAGAGATGACACTACAAAAAATATAACTCTTATCATCAAAACACTGAAGGCTCACCATCAACCGAAACTTTACATTATATCTCTTACCATGACTTGCACAGTGATATTCCTATGCTTCCTAGCGGTATGTGCTCTTGCGTTTAATGAGCGCAAGCTCAAGTTCAATCCGGCAAAGGAGATTGAAGCATTGTTGGCTAGTATGCAAGGCCGTTTGCCTCAGAGATTCTCATATACGACATTGGATACTGCGACAAAAGGATATAGCACAAAGCTGGGAGCTGGGGGATATGGATCAGTTTACAAAGGAGTTTTGAGTGATGGTAGAGTTGTGGCAGTCAAGAAGCTTGACTACAGTGGAACGCAAGGGGCAAAACAGTTTGTGACCGAGATTGCTGGAATTGGAGGCATAAGTCATGTAAACATTGTTAAACTTTGTGGCTTTTGCATCGAGGGAGCAACACAGTGGCTGCTGGTTTACGAATTTATGCCCAATGGATCACTCGACAAATGGCTTTTCGAGCAAACTTCAGAGAATTTATGGCTCAGTTGGCAGCAGAGGATCGACATTGCCCTTGGCACGGCTCAAGGACTTGCGTATCTTCACGAGGAATGCAGGGAGCCCATACTGCACTTGGACATCAAGCCCCAGAACATTCTGTTGGACACAGAGTTTGTCGCAAAGGTGGCGGACTTTGGGATGGCAAAGCTGCTTGAGAACCGCAACGAGACGCAGGTCATGACGACCATGCGGGGCACTCCAGGCTACATGGCTCCGGAATGGCTCACACATTTCATGGCTACAAAGAGATGCGACGTTTACAGCTATGGAAAGGTGCTTTTGGAACTAATTGGGGGTCGTAGGAACATTGATCTCTCAAAGGCTGTGAACTTTGGGGACAACACTCAGCCGGACGAGAGCTGGTATTTTCCAACTTGGGTGGTGAACCAGGTGGAGAAGGGGAATTTTCTCGAAGTGATTGACGAGAGGGTGAGAGCAAGTGCCAGTGAAAACTATCAGCAGGCCAAGAAAATGGTTCATCTTGCACTGTGGTGCATTCAAGACAATGCTGATTCTCGGCCATCCATGAGGACAATAGTGGAAGTGTTGCAAGGGCATTTGGATTTGGGTTCTGCTCCTTTGATAGCAAAAGTGGCATTTCGTTGATGTTTGAAATAATATAAACTTATTATGTAATACAAAAGTTGTGGTGGGATGAGGACTGAAAGTCATACAAATGGAGCCGCATATTTGAAGCAGAAAATTACCTCCAAAAACAAGTGCTTCAAGATTGCACCACTTGTGGAGACTTTTCTTTGGAAGACTGGACCAGTTTTTAGCTCGGGAGACCCTTCTCCTAGAGACTGGACGACTTTTTAGCTCATGATCTCAAAACTCAACATAGTCATTCAAAGTGAATAAATTATCTTGTATTTTATGTGATCTGAGTCCAAATTTCAAATTTGCTCTCATAGCTCAGTTGGTCAGAGCACCCGTTTAGTAAGCGGGAGGTCCTGAGTTCAACTCTCAGTGAAAGCATTAAATTAAGTCATTTTTTCTGATATGTATTTTTTGTTTTCACCAATGGAGGTTTAGGGTTTGCTGGGCGAGGATCGAAATATCTCAGAGAGCGCGAGGTAGGGTTTAGGCGATGATCCATTAGTTCGCGACAGCGGCGGAGAGTGGATTCGTGGCCGCCATGCCTTGCGCCATGGTCTCCGGCCTCGCGGGGCATCACCGAGCCGTCGAATCGATCGCCTGCTCGTCCTCGTTTCCATCCTGGCAGCAGCAGCGAAAGGGGGGGATTTCCATCAAAACCAGGGCCTTCGCCCCGTGGCTTCGCTTTACCAAGCCTCCTCCTTCCTCGTCCTCAGCCTCCTCGGGTAAGAGTAGCAGCAGTAGGAGAAAATCCAGAAAGCTAGAGCCCGGCAATGGTGGATTTAAGAAAAATGTAGCTTTGGCCTCTCTAGCTTTGGGAGCCAATGCTATGATCTTGCTGGGTGGTGGTGGTGGTGAATTTGGAGGCTTCGGTGGAGGTGGTGGAGGAGGCGGCGGCGGCGGCGGCGGTGGTGGCGGAGGCTTTGGAGGAGGACCTGGTGGTGGAAATTGGCTGTGGGAGCTTCTGTGCGCGGCGATTGGGGGCAGTGGTGCCAGGGCCGACGATAAAAACAGTGGAGATTGGGATCCTCACGGTGCTAAAGTCGGCCTCACGGCACCGGTAAGCCGGCTCAGCCCCAACAAGAAGTACAAGCTTTCCGGCGTCGATCTCGTGGATCAGCGCAGCAAAAAGGCCGTCGATGGCAAGGATCCATTTTTCGAGCTTGTCACGCTCCGGAATGGTGGGGTTTTCACGAAAGACCAGCTTGAGTCGGAGCTGGAGAACCTCGTCAACTGTGGCATGTTCCAGACCGTGGAGATGGAAGGCGTCACTCAGGCTGATGGGACTATAAAGATCAACATCAACTTTGTCGAGAGCCAGTGGCAAGCGGCGAAAAGTGTGCGGTGTATCAACGTTGGGCTGTTGGCTCAGACCAAGCAACCCGATTTTAACAGCATGACCGAGAAGCAGCAGCAGGAATATCTTGGGAAGCAAGAAGAAGAGTACAAGAAGCGGGTGAGGAAAGCCAGGAAGTGCATGCTACCGAGAAGGATCGAGCAGGAAATTTCGGGCTGGCTGTCTGCCGAGTCTCGTGTTACTGCGAGAATGCTGCAGAGAATCCGGGAGAGAATACAGAAGTGGTATCACGATGAAGGCTATGCGTGCGCTCAAGTCGTCAACTTCGGAAACCTCAATACGAACGAAATAGTCTGTGAAGTAGTGGAAGGGGACATCACAGACGTGCAAATAATGTTCCAGGACAAGATGGGGCTTCCAGTTGAAGGGAACACTCAAGTCCCTATCATAGAGAGGGAGCTTCCTTCACAGGTATTGCTTGTTTATTTTCTCCGGTGGTTCTCATTTGTTGTTTTGCTGGATGCAGCTTAGCTCCGGGAAGATCTTCAACATTGAAGCGGGCAAGAAAGCTTTGCGCAACATTAACAATCTTTCTCTCTTTTCTAACATTGAAGTCAATCCAAGGCCGGATGAAGAGATCGAGGGAGGTATTATAGTGGAAGTGAAGTTGAAGGAGCTCGAGCAGAAAACTGCTGAGATCAGCACCGAGTGGAGCATAGTGCCAGGGAATTCTGGACGTCCAACACTGGTGAGTCACTTTATATCCAAATGATCTTCACTGCTTATGCGTTTTTGTTGATACAGGCCTCGATCCAGCCAGGTGGTAACGTAACCTTTGAGCATCGGAATATCAAAGGCTTGAACCGCACATTGATTTGTACTGTCACGTCGAATAATCTCTTCAATCCCCAGGTCCGGTACTTCCCTCTCAGATCTTTTCGATATTTACGCACCGCAATGTGGATTTGTAGGATGACTTAGGATTCAAGATGGAATACGTGCACCCGTATCTCGACGGTGTGACCGATCCCAGGGAGCGTACGCTCAAGGCTAGCTGTTTTAACAGTCGCAAAGTCAGTGCTGTGTTTACTGGAGGTCCCGGTTTGGAAGACGTGCCTGGTATATGGGTCGATCGAGCTGGATTTAAAGCCGGTATAACTGAGGTAATTGTTAAGCTTTGCTTGGCTTGTTATATACTCACTGTTTATCTCGTCCAGAACTTCACCAGGCAGAGCAAGCTGACGTATGGATTTGTCATGGAGGAAGTCACAACGCGCGACGAGAACAGTGCCATTTGCACTAACGGGGCTCGCGTGCTTCCAAGCGGGGCCTTGAGCATGGACGGTCCCCCGACTACTCACAGCGACACCGGGACTGACCGGGTGGGATTTTTCCAGGCCAATCTCACACACGACAACACAAAGTTCGTAAATGGAACACCCATTGGCTCGAGGAACATCTTCCAGGTAAGAAGTGTATGGTCAATTAGCTCTCATTCTCACTGCTTCCTGGTATGATGGTAACAGCTCGATCAAGGACTGGGAGTCGGCTCCAGGTTTCCATTTTTCAATCGACACCAACTTACATTGACTCGGTTTATACAACTGAGGCCCGAAGATAGACACGGCGAGCAGCCACCTCCGGTTCTGGTGATCCACGGTCACTACGGAGGCTGCATTGGCGATCTTCCAAGCTACGATGCGTTCACTCTGGGAGGACCTTACTCCGTTCGCGGCTATAATCTAGGGGAGCTTGCAGCTTGCAGAAACATCCTCGAGGTATAGTTTTCTTCCTTCTTTCTTGTCCTGTGGATCCATTTTTTCCCTTCTTTCCTGCCAGACTGCGGCTGAGTTGCGAGTCCCTGTAAAGAACACGCATTGTTACGGTTTTGTGGAGTACGGAACAGACCTCGGCAGCTCCAAAGACGTGCGAGGAAATCCCACCGAGTTTTTCAGGCGCGTTGGTCACGGAGGCTCGTACGGAGTTGGAGTGAAGCTGGGACTCGTGAGAGCGGAGTACGCCAGAGACTGTAATGCGGGTTCTGGAGCATTGTATGTTAGATTTGGAGAACGATTTTGATTTGAGTGCGAGGGATATTTTTGTTCTTCTCTTTCTTTATTATTCTTTAGATTCTCTCTTCTAAAAGCTTATACATCACCCCGGAAGTTTGGACAAGCAAATCAAACAGGATTGGTTGAAACAGGAATATCTTGTAGCTGTTTATCAACATGGCCGTCTCCAAGCTGCAAGAAGAAAAGACTTGGCGTTAGCAGAGGATTGCTCGAAGATGGAAAGTTTACGCACTTCTACTTGTGATCTGGCTGGAAACAAAGAGATCATGTCGAGGTTCCAATCTATATTTCTGGAAGGAAACAAGCGTTACTTTTATTACTATGAATGCGAGGTATTACCGTACCTTTGGTCTACTACTAGCTGCCAAATGTATGGCACAAAAAATTCCTCTGGGTGGAGCTCTTCTTCGTATGTAAATCGCAACTGTGTGAAGATCTGAGCAAAGAAAAGAGTTACCAATACAGGCCTTGTTAAAAGCAGTAAAGTGGTAAGCTACCTTCATTCCTTCACCTCGCCAGGATCTTGCGTTTGCGATTACTATTTGCAAGACTTTCTCGACGGACCACTCCGCATTTGACTGCTGATCATCCATGCGGACGTTGAAAAAGTCTAGAACCTATGCATCGCCGCATGAAAACGTCAGAGCATTGGAGAGCAATTCAACCAGAAACTCACATTGAATATGTTCTCCAGAAGCTCATAGAAACGAGGATGCTCCTTAAACGGTTGAAACAACTCTTGTCTGTGCAAAAGCGCATACACAACCTGAAAACGAAAGCTTAGGATAAGAAGCTCGCTACAAAGAGAATGCTCACCTCCGGATTTCTAGGAAGAGCGTACGTTAGGATCGCGTTAATGATTTCCAGAACAATGCGCAAAAAATCAGTGTAGATATGTAGCTCTGTTGGCTGCAAGAAAACTTGCATTATTGAAACCTCTGTAATCAATCCATCATTACCCAACCTTCAGAGGAACCTAATGATTGCTCACCATATCCTCTGAAGCCTCAAAGCCTTCCACCTGACCGAGCTTCGCAACCGCAACCTTGACGTTGATATTGGCATCCACAACCTTCTTGTATCTGTATCAAGGAGAAAAGCTTTGAGTGAAAGGAAGTTTGATTACGACACTTACTTTCGTGCGAGCATGTCGAAAAGGCTCACGAGCCTTTGAGACGCATAAGCATTGAGCTGATGCATGTGTGGGGCCATGTTCGCCAAAATGGCAAGACAGTTTGTGTGAAGAAATAGATCCTGCAAGAGAGAGACGTCACAATCGTTGAGGCCTCTAAAGAAAAAGCACTAGCTTACTCGAAGCTTGGACAGGTTGAACTTCACTGTTCTGATAAGAATGACAACCATCAACGATCCCAGAGAAATCCCTGGAAGAAGACGCTCTTTATACCAAGAAACCCCTGGTAATATCTGTAAGACTGGAGTCAATCACATGAAACTTTGGAGGACATGTACGTGCCAGCTTGTGTATGCTTGCGTTGAACGTCGAATCCTGGCTAAGTATAAGAAAGATAACCAGGAGCATGTATATTTGATTTGGAGTTCGTTTCTGTACATCATAAAGCATCTCTAGCACCGGCATAATCTGTTGTGCATACTGTGCATTAGAACGAAGAAAAGACGCCACAAAGCCAAGGCGTACCAGAGTGTCTAAATCAGTTCGCACTAGCACGTACTCCAAGAATGCCGGATTCCCATGGACAAGCGAGTAAAGGAGCAAAATAGTTGCGTCTTCGGTGAGGCCCCTGGAAACAAAAAAACAACATCAATGTCTACTCAAGCAACCAATCGCACTACATACGGTCCAAGCCTATCAAACAAGGCCGCAAACGGAATTCGAACTCCCTGCCCAGCTTGCTCGATGTCTGCGATGTCAACTGTAGCAGCATACATATAATTAGAAAAAAAACGGACACACACAAATGAAAACTAAAGCATAGTTTCCACGTACAGTCTGTATCTCTTGAGGATGATAGTGCTCGACGAAAAGGGTTGTGCAGACCCACCGCCAAGTTTTCGGTACAAGGTTCTACATCATTGTCCAGAGGAGTAACATGGGTTCTCTTTCCATAGTGAACAAGAACCAAAAGCAGAAGCAAACTGTTATCCGCCAACGGGAATTTGGAAAAGCGGTCACTCCCGGGGCTCAGCAAATACGTGTAGGTGTAGTACGGCAGCATAAACACCGTCGCTGGAAGAACGAAAAAAGAGCATAAATCGCGCTTCGGCTTTTCATCTTCTTACCAGCTGCTGAGCTCATTTTCCGTATAACACCCGTTTCTTTGTCCTGCGTCCCGTAGTACGCAGCTTCTGATGGCAAAGGAGTTCTTGCAATAAACGAAAGGAGCAGCTTGCGAATGAAAGGACCAACAACATAGCTTTCCTGTACATTTTCCATATGTGAAAACTCTGGATGTTAAAGAACATGTTAAAGAACATTATTGACCTGTGCAATAGCGGCATCTAGAAATGGATGAAAGCCTGCGCTCATAGGCGAATAAAGCTGTGTCGACATCATGACGAGAAGCAAGTTCACAAGCTCGAGGTGTAGCATGTACGTGTAAGGACTTACACAAAGAAAAAATGAGGTAACACATCCGTGGAAGTTACTTGAGATCTAAGCATCACACTACGTACTTTATATCCGAGGCACCGATGAAAGTCAGCAATCCATGCAGCACTAGGCTGGGAACATTTAGATCGCCTGCTGGTTAAAGTCAACTTTAGAGATCCATATCAAGGAAAAAAGAAGAGAAAAGAGCGAGCCATGCATACCTTCGGGTAGCTTTGAGATCCCTGCGTCGTGATCACTGATGTGTAGAACGAGATGGCTCGAGAAAGACGAGGAAGAATTCTCGATTAAGTACTTGAGAAACACCCGAGAGAAGTACGTCGCATTGATGACTTTCACGGCCGAGGATTTGGATCCCGGCGAGGCAGTCACCTCTTGGATGCTCCACACGAGATGGACGAGCAATTTGGGGAAATGCCGAGTCTGGAGATTGTTCTGAGCTGAAAGAGACAATCGCGAGAAATGTTTTGCCTCAGCAGCCGATCCGCGAAGGAAGAATCGGTGCTTACCGAGTAGAGCGCCAGCTTCATTCACTCGCTCCACGGACCATTCGAATGCCGGAGGCAGCAGCAACAGCTTCTCCCAAAAGCTGGAGCTTAGATCGTAAATTCGGCCGCCTACCATCGCCCCGAGAAGATAATCGCGGTGTTCTTCCGGCCGCGCATCCGGCCGCGGCGTCGATGCTGTCCCCCCCATCGCCGAGCTCTCGAGCTCCCCAGCTCAGATCTACGCGCCCTAGAAATATTTCCGTGAGAGCACGTTAGTTAGCCCTAAAATATTTTTTTTGTGCCACACAAGAGGGAAGAGGGTTTCCTCTTCTTCTTCCTCGCGGGGATGGGAGCGCGAGCTCCATCGCTGCAAGAGCTTTGCATCCACACCGCCATCGATAATCTCCACAGGTTTGGCGATGTCGGCGACACGGATCTGGATCTCCTGCGCATCATCCTGCCGCATTGCACGACGGACCAGCTGCGGCACATCGAGAATTGTAGCAAGGTCAGTGAGGATTTGCTTCCAGCGATGCGATTCCTGGCTCCTCCTCACAGGATAGGGATTTGGCACCCGTGACGAACGAGCTGTGGAAGAAATGCTACGGCCGTGATTTTGGCCCGCATAGCTTGGAGCTTGTGGAGTCCAAATTGAAGCATGCCTCCAAGAGCCAGTTTAAGTGGAGGGATTTGTACGAGGTAATCTCTGGCCTGTGGTGATACCATCTCTCACTTCTCTTGGTTTTGGTTTTTTTCTCCTCCTTTTATTTTCTTGTTGGTCAGGCGAAGCTCAAGCATCGCGAAGAGAAGCAGCAAAAAGGCGTGGAGTTGCTCCAACGGTTACACATGGAAGAAGAATCCAGTAACTTGTTCTTCGTCTTTGAGTTTTCCTGATTTACTCGATGCTGCTCGTGTCTATCCAGAGAAACAAAGCAGGCAGCTCAAGCGATGCTACAAATCTCCACCGGAGCCGAAGAGAAGCTTTGGCAGTGAGTAGACCGAAAGATCTTGTCAAGAAACGTCTCTGATCGTGGCGATTATTTTCGTCTCACTCCAGGTGGTGGATCTTCTGGCGCTTTCAGCAATGTTAAAGGCCGCCTCATGAGAAAGGCTCGAGTAGAGCACGCCGCCAGGTAAAGGCTTGTTCGCTTATTCATAGCGTCACCATTTTCTTTCCTTCTTTTCTTCACAGCCGAGAAGCAAAGATGATGGCATCCATAAGGAAGAAACACAAGAGCGTCTAAGCAGTTCTCTCTTCTAGGTAGCGTGTAAATTCTTCCAGCATTCTAACAAGAATTCCTTCCTAGATCCTTGTTCGCTCCAAAGAGAAGAATCGAAATCAAAATAAAGCCAAGCATGGATGGAGAAGGAACCACTACTATCGCAGCTCGTCAAGCGCTGCATTAGATCCAGGGACTTACGCCAGGCCCGCAAACTCCACGCCCAGATCGTCGCCACCAACAGCCGCTACTTCCTCAACCTCCTCATCGACATGTACGGCAAATGCGGGGGCGTGGACGAGGCCCGCCGCGTCTTCGCCGCGGTAGCGCCGCAGTCCAACGTGGTCACCTGGAACGTCATGCTCACGGCATATGCCCAGAACGGGCATCTCGAGGACGCAAAATCCCACTTCGACGCCATGCCGCGGCGCAACGTGCTGACGTGGAATACCATGCTGTCGGCGGCATTTTCCATGCCGCGCGGTACAGCCGCGGGCGCCGCGGCGGTCTTTGCCCGGATGCCGCAGCGTACGGCCGTGTCGTGGAACGCCATGGCCAGCGCATATTCGCAGTATGGGCATTTTGCCGAGGCCAAGAACACGCTTGATAGAGCTCCAGAGAGGGATCGTGTCTCCGGGCTGTGCGCGATCCACGCGCTAGGGCAGCTGGGGCGGTGCCGCGAGGCGAGGGAGATCTTCGAGGGGCTGGAGCGGCGGGATCTGGCGGCATGGACGAGCATGCTGCTGGCGCTGGTTCACGCTGGAAATCCAAGCTTCCTTCTCGATGCTGCCATGGGATTGTTCGCGAGAATGCCGGCGTGGGATGGAATCCCCTGGGCCGCGATGATCGGGCTGTGCGGCGAGGCCGGGCGAGTGGAATCCGCCAAGAGTCTGTTCGACGCGATGCCGGAGAGGGATGTTTTCCCGTGGGGGGCTTTGATCCAGGCGCATGCGCTGGATCAAGATCTGGAACAGGCGAGGAGGGCGTTCGATCGAATGCCGCAGCACAATCTCCAGTCGTGCACGAGCATGATCACGGCATTCGCGCAGGGGCGCGATCTGGAGCAAGCGCAGCGTGTTTTCGATGGAATGGGCGAGCACGACGTGGTGTCAAGGACGAGCTTGATCCAGGCCTATGCTCTAAACGGGCATATCGATCGCGCTAGAACGATGATGCTCGCTAGCAAGGGGGGCCACGATCTTGTTCTGTGGAACACGATGCTCGCAGCGTATGCCCTGCTTGGGCATCTGGAAGAAGCTAAGATCTTGTTCGATCGGATACCACATCGAAACATTGGTTCATGGAACGCCATCTTGCTGGCTTACATTCACAAGAACGATCTCATCCGAGCTAGAGAAGCGTTTGATTCGATGCTAGAGCGCAATCCCACGTCGTGGACGATGATGCTCGCGGCGTATGCCTTGAATGGGGATGTGGTTCGCGCGGGCGAGCTCTTCCAATCGGTGTCACACCAGGACGAGATCGCGTGGACGCTGATGATCCAGGCGAACTGCCACAAGGGCGAATGCAAGCAAGCTCTAGTGCTGCTGCGGTCCATGGATTTGGATGGAATTCGCCCAAACTCGATCACATTCTTGGTGATCCTCCACGGATGTAGCCACGCTGGGATGGTGGAAGAGGGCAGGGATTGCTTCCTGGCGATGAGCAGCGTCTATGGGATCGCGCCAGAGCACGATCACTACTGCTGCATTGTGGATTTGCTGGGGCGATCCAACAGGCGATTGCTGGACGACGCGGAGGAGCTTGTGGAATCGATGCCCTACTTGCCCGGGGCGGTGGCGTGGGCGGCGCTGCTGGGCGCGTGTAGGGTTCATGGCGACGTCGAGAGGGGCGCTCGAGCTGCCAAGAATGTGATGAAGCTCGATCCAGGGAACTCCTCCGCGTTTATGTTGCTTTCCAATGCGTGCTCTTCGCAAATCTCCATCACTGCCAGAGATGGGTAGGATAGTCGTGTTCTTCATCTCTTTCGATCAAGCGTTCTTCATCTCTTTCGATCGAGCGTTCTTCATCTCGTTCGATCGAGAGTGTTCATCTCTTTCGATCGAGCGTGTCATCTGGAAAGATTCGTTGATCCATTGAAAGCTACGAGCTGATCGACACAGGAAACTCTAGAAAAAAAAAGCCTTGATTCTTCTCAAAAAGAGCTTGAGATGTGACTGATCGATCGAAAGTTTCATGGGTCCTGGAAGCGGAGATGCTTGCCAGCGGCGATTGGGACCCCGTTGAGCTTGGTGATCGATGGCGATGGCTCCGCCACTGGTGGCGGTGATGGTGGATCGATCACTTCCTCCTCCAGCAGCTCGTCATCGCTGTTATACTTGTAGCGGATGTGCTTTCCAGCGAATTGGGCGAAGAGTGGCTTCTTCGACACACAGATTCCACTCACACCGCGGCATAGCTCGTCATCCACAACCTCGTCCTCTTCCTCCTCCTCGCCGAATTCTTCCTCCTTCTTGGCCCCGGGGCTTTGATCGATCGCTCCTTCGTCCTCAAACTCGGGATCTACGAGCTTGGAAGTGTGATCGCGCATCGCCCATGGATTTGGGCGACTTGGATTCGCCTTCCCGTCCTTCTGGATCACGGGTTCTTCCTCTTCTTCCTCCACGCTCTTCTGGGGCGAGCTTACATTCACATCCACTGACCAGTTGGAGCTCTGGTCGTCCTCCTCCTCGGCTGGATCGTGGATAGCGATAGTGATCATCCCGGCGGCGGCGGCGGCGGTGGCGCCACCAGCTGGGGTGTTTGCGGGCGTTGGGCCGCCATGATCCGAGCACGGCGACGAGTACACGAAGCTAGTCACCTTGCAAGGATCGACCGTCTCGAGCAAGGACTGGACCTGAGATCTCAGCAAGCTCTCACCGGCCTCTTCTTCTTCCTCCAACACCACGGCCGCGCTCTTGTTCTTCGCGATAGCCATGGCCGCCGCCGGCGAGCCCTTGCACATCCCAGCGATGGGCGAATCGTTGGTCACGTCCGCCAGTGGCCGCCGCCGCGGGGCCGCCGTCCTCCTCTTGCCGGGCACGCCGCGCCGCCGCCACCCGAGCTTCGCATGCTCCTCTGCCGCGATTGGATCGATCTGCAAATCCACTGGAGAGGCAGGCCAGGAAACAAAATCGATTTGGGCAATACAAGAAATCAAATCGAGAAGACTCACCGGCTAAGATCACTTCCTCCTCCTGCTGCTGCTCCTTCCTTGCCTGGCTACGTGTTCTCCGGACTGGCACCGCCTCCATAGCTAGGTACCAAAGCTCCACTGCCCCAAAACGCGAGCACTCTCTCCCATTTTAAAAGCCGGGGGGGTAGCATTCAAAATCCAGGTAGCCGTTGGGAGCCGAATATTCTATTCCTCTGGTTTGCCCTAAAAGTGTTTAGCCCTATTCAAGCCCTAAAAGAGCCCTAAGGGCAAAAAGCGGATTGGATATGTCTGACGCCGACTTTTCTCTACAGCTGTACCAAATAGCAAATCTATCCAAATGTAAAAAAGCTTGCAATTTGCAAAGCTTGTTCGGTTGGGTTCTTCGTGATTGCCGGCACAACCAAAAGCCAATCACTCTTTCTTTCTTTTTTCTTACCCAGAGAGGAATGAAAGTTGAATGAGATTCGGGCAATCTCCCCGGCCTGGATGGGAGATTCCATTCTCTCCCATGATGTGTGTGGGAGATTTAGGGTTCCGGGCTTGTTGTGCAATCGCAATCGCACGCCTTTTGCGATCCGCTCCTTTATGGTAAGTGCCGGGGAGCAAATTCAGTGCAGCATGCACGTTTGGATGCTCGAATGCATGAATGGGTTTGGAGGTTTCCGTCGTTCGTCGTCGAGTATATGCGGCACATGTACGCATATTCCAGCAAGCAAACAAAAGAACGGAAGAACTGCAGGAACTACAGGACGAGTGCAAATGTCAAGGTGACAACACACGCTAGCTCGAAACACTTCCAAAAATTGGGACACTACACCAGCGCCAAAACCATGGAAAAGCACGGGGGTGATGTTTGGTGATGTTTAGATCGAATCATCACGGTCCAAGCCAAACGCCACGGAACAGTTGGATTTGGATTGGGTCGTTCGTGGGGAACGCGACGGGCCTTAAATTTCCCTTGCCTGTGATTGGAGATAAAATTCCCTACACCCAAGAGGGGGCGCTGCGTATAGTAGAACAACAAGTGGACCGAAGGCAGTCTGGTCTGTCCACCACACACTGGCCCTCTCTCTCTTTTGTTCTTGCGCTTCTAAAGATCGCGCCTTTGCAGTGCCTCGAATCTAAAACCCCCCAACAACCCAACACATTCAAGCCCAGATTTGGCGAGAGGTGTGATTTTGAGAGGCGAGCCCCTCCTCCAGAGATTAGGGTTCTAGAGAGTTGAGTTGAATAATCTTCTGCCCAGGATTCGATTCTACAGCCTAGCTCACAAGTAGTACTAGTACTAGAGAAGAGAAGAGAGAGAGAGAGAGAGAGAGAGAGAGGAGAAAAGAAAAGAAAAGAAATCGCTACTCTCTCCAGTGAAAGAATTTCTGGATGGATAGGACGATGATCGAGTAGGAGGCGATTGGAATTCCGGGCTATGGCGCCACGAGCACGATAAGAGGAGGAGGAGGTCCGAGGAGAGGGGATAGATGGTCAATGTTAGCCGCGCGGCTAGCAGCGGCAGTATGACGTCGCGTCTCTCGCTGTCGCCGCCCACGCAGGGGCAGTGTACCGCGGGCGGCATGCAATCGCCGTCAATTGCCGCCAGCAGCTGTACGTCCGCTGGCGGCGGCGCTTGTGGCGGCGTGCTGGCGGCGACGCCCAACGATGGCAGTGGTAGCGGCGGCGGGCTGGAGGAGGACCAATTGCAAGCATGGGTGGGACTGAACAAGCTGGGGCAGGACCTCGAGGGACTGGTGACGAGCGCGCCGCTGGAGGACTGCCATTTCTACAGCGATGCCGAGATCATCGTCGCCGAGGGCGTGACAGTGCCCGTGCACCGCTGCATCCTCGCGGCGCGCAGCCCATTCCTTCGCCGGATCTTCGCGGAGAAGCAGCGGGAGCAGCAGCGGGTCCAGGCAGCGGCGGTGGCGGTAGCGCCGCCGGAGAAGCGATCGAAGGCCGGGGAGAAGAGGAAGGAGCCGCCACCGGCGGCGGCGGCGGCGAGTGGCGGTAGAGGTAGCGGTAGCGGTAGGGTGGAGGTGGATTTGGCGGAGCTCGCGGGCGGGACTGGGAAGATTGGCCGGCAGGCGCTGATGATCGTGCTGGGATATTTCTATGGCGGCAAATTCCAGCGGATCGAGGAGGAATGCAGCGGCGTGACGTGCATGGATTCGCAATGCCCGCATGTGGCGTGCTGGCCGGTGATCGAGTTCTTGCTGGAGCTCCTCTTCGTGGGATCGCTGTTCCAAGTGTCGGACCTCAAGAGCATGGCGCAGGTACTAAAATCTTCCTTTCCCCCTTTCTCGATTTTAGGGTTCTTGGAGGAATTCGAGAGAAAGAGAAGGGATTTTGATCTCTCGCCTTCGTTCCGTGGATGCAGGATCGTCTCCTCCGGCTCCTCCCCAAGACGCCGGCCGAGAACGTGCTCCAGATCGCGGCGGCGGCGGCCGCGCAGCAGGGATGCGAGGCGCTCCAGGAAATGTGCCTTCCAATCCTGGCCAGATCCAACACGCCGGCGCTGGCCATCGAGAAATCTCTCCTCGCGCACGCCCCGGCGCTGGTCCGCGACATCGCGCAGCTCCGCCACCGCCTTGGCATCCACCCGGTGGACGCCGCGGAGGACAAGCGGTGGCGCCGCGTCTACAAGGCGCTCGACTCCGACGATGTGGAGCTCATGGGGATGCTCCTCAGCGAGAGCAATTCCCGCGTGGATTCGGTGTATGCGCTTCACTACGCGGCCTCCTACTGTGATCGCAAGACGCTGACCGAGCTCCTGGATCTCGGCCTGGGCGACGTCAATCTCCGGGACCGATATGGCTATACCGTGCTGCACGCCGCCACGCTCCGCCGGGTGCCCGAGGTGGTCGGGCTCTTGCTCGGCAAAGGCGCGTCGCCGCTCGACACCACGCCCGAGGGGTATACCGCGCTGCAAGTGTCGCGGAGGATCGCCAGGAACATCGAGTCGCTGGAGTCCGCCGAGGCCCGCGAGGACTGGCTGCGCGATAGGATTTGCGTGGAGATCCTCGAGCAGGCCGATCGCGCGAATCCTTGTCCGGTGTTCCCAGTGCCCATGGGCGAGAGGGAGCTCTTGATGAGATTACTCTACTTGGAAAATCGAGGTAAAGTTCCATCTCCTCCTCCTTGTTGGTTCTTTGGTTTCTTGGAAGGAGTGATTTGCCAGCTTTCTTTCCTTCCATGACATGATCACGTGATTGAACTTAGCGATTGCAAAGAAAGAGAGGTTTGATTTTTCACTTTGACTATATGGTGTCTTGGTGTCTCTTTGATTGTTGTTTGTTTTTTCTTTGCTTTTGGTTTGAAGATAGTGATAGAACTTGCGAGTGTCAGGCTTTTTCCTGGACTGATTTCTTTCTAGCCAGTGTGCTTTAAAGTTTTTGGAGGATGTTCTCCTTTCCTCTTTATTGGCTGCTTCGAGGCTGGAAGAACTGGACTGATGGATGATGTTTTTACTGTTCCACAGTCGCATTTGCTCGACTTTTATGGCCGCGCGAGTGCAAAGTGGTGCTGGGGCTGTCCCAGCTGGACACCACCAAGGAGTTCAGCATGGAAGACACGAGCAGCCTCATGGATCTCAACAAGGAGCCGACTCGATCCGACACGGACATAAACTCGTCGCTCCTCCAAAGAGTTAACGCTCTCCAGCGAGCAAGTAAGCACGGCACTGCGTCCTCCCGAGTTCCTGACTGTGACTTCTGTCGATGTTTTAGTTGAAGTTGGCCATCGATTCTTCCCGCGGTGCACAGCCATTCTAAACAGCTACATGGACGATGGATCGTTCGAGCACGAGTGCATCCAGAACCGGCGCATCCCCGAGGATCAACTCCGTCTGCTCGCCAAGCTCAAGAGGGTCACCGATGACAAGCAGCTGTCCGAGGCTTACCAAAGGGACGTGGAGGAGCATCACAACTTGGAGCATCACAACTTTGGAGACAATGCCTGCTTGTATAGTAACTAGAGAGCTAGCAAAATCATTCAGCGATCAACTGTTTTCTTCGTTTTCTACTTTTTTGTTGTTTTAGGAGGGGAAGCGATCGAACGTCCCTCAATCGAGTGAGTGAGAGTTGTGTAACATACCTTCTTTTCTATGAAAACTTTCTTTACACTGCCCAACTTCTTGTTTGTTTTCAATGCCACCTTTTCTATGACATCGGCATAGATCTCGTTGAGATATCCAGTTTGACTTAGTTGTCCATTTGACTAGGGCTTATGTGCTAATAATTTGGAAGACCTAAACCGCAAAAGGGATCCAGCACAAAGGACGAGGAATCTCTGTCGCCTACCACGAGACGGAGGATTCGATGCTAGATTCCAGATGCGCGGGGATAATATTTCAAGGATCGAATGGCTAGGATGATAGGACAAGAGATGGCCATCTTTCCATTGGCGCTGGTAGTATCTACTTTCTTTCTCGGCGCTGCCATCGCCGCCTCCTGGGACCGCGACACGCTCCTCCTTTACGGCGGATTCGTGGAGGACATGTATAACAAGATCAACTCCTCCTCGATCGTCAGCTCGGGCAGCGATTATAGGATCACAAGGGACTTGTATGCCGCCGAGAAGACTGGGTCCTTTTTTGGGGAGCCCTTGGTATGGATCGGCTGCGTTGCCATCTCCGATTCCAGGCAAAACGTGGTGGTGGTCTTTCGGGGGACGTCCAATCCCGGGGAATGGGCCAAAAACTTGCTGGTTTCGCGACTTTCTTTCACATATCTCAATGGTAGTACCGCCAATTCTCCCGGAATCCACGATGGGTTTCTCAGCTTGTACACCGAGTCTGACGATGGGAAGATCAACCTGAGGCAGCAAACCGTGGAGGAATTGCGATCTCTGGCCTCTTCCAATCCAGGCTATAGCATCAGCTTCGTTGGTCACAGCCTTGGCGGAGCGCTCGCCACTCTCGCGGCCTTTGACGTCGCAAACAGTGATATCATGGATCGTGTCCAAGGAAAGAAGCTCTCGGTCTATACGTTTGCGTCGCCCATGGTTGGGGACGAGACATTCAAGCAATTGGTGGAAGAAGAGATCAGCGCTCTGGATGTTTTGAGGGTGTCGGATATCAGGGACGTGGTTCCTTACCTTCCATCGCTCAATTACGTACATGTTGGGGAGGATTTCACTGTGGATGGCTGCCAGTTTGATGGGAATAACAATGGAGGTGATGTGTTTTCCAAAGTGATAGAGTACCACAGTCTTGTGCGATACATGCGGACAGTTAGTTTAATCAAAGGTGATGGGATCACTGGTGGTTGCATTAACAAGAAAGATTTGGAAGGTGTTATGGAGTTTGTGAGGAAGATAATCAGTAAGGCGAATGCTGGGTGGTCTGGATTTAAGAATTTGGTGCTCGCTATGAAGCATTATGTCCAAAACTTTTCAGCCTCCTGCACAACTAATTGAAGTATGAAACAATTCTAACATTTAAATCTAAAATATTGGTGCTGCCTGTCTTGCTCTTGTTGGCTGGGCTTGGATGCAGTGGCAGTTTCTATGGGAATTTTTCAAAAAAACTTCCTTCAATTGGAAAAGGAAATTAGATATATTTGTGAATAATAAAATAAGTGTAAAACTTTAAAATAAAAAATTCTCCATTGCAAAATATTTGTAAATAAAGTTAAGAAATAATTTTAATATAATTTTTTATACTTTTATTTAATTTTTTAATCAAAACCTAGGTTACAATATAAAAATAATTAATTTTTTTAGGTAATTTTAAATTTAAAAACCTAATTTAGGTTTGAATCAATATGCAGCTTTAGAATTTTAGTGCAATTATTATATTATATTGACAGCAATATGATCCCAATTAATATTGTTAAACATACTAGTGAAGTGTTGAATAAAAGATCAAAATCTTAAAAATAAAATCTTTCTTCTAAAAAAGGGTAGAGAACTAAAAGTGTTACAATAAAAAGAAATTTAATCAATCTCACACAAAAAGTTGAAGTGAAATATAAATTAAATTGTATAACAATTTGAAGCTTTACTTAGTTCCAAAAATGGGATCCACCAATACTTTTACATTTCCATTTACTTATATTTATTTAAAGCCTCCATTTAATCATGTTTGGGTGTATTTGCATTATCATTGTCCATGATAAGATTTGAATTTAAAACCTTTAGTCATATGATTTGAACTCAAAATCTATTATACACAAATAGTAAAAGGTGGGATGAACTTGATCCCATTAAATATATTTCATAGGAGGATGCAACAATTAATTCATACTACATCTTGCGTGAAACATCAAAAGCCAAATTCAAGTTTGGCAAGTAACAAATTTCTGTTTTACAATGGCTTTCACCCAATGCTTGTCAAATATTCTATAGCTGCTCAACTCTGCATGGGATGCCAATAATGCAGTTTCTGTGTCTCACGTTTCAGCAAAAGCAAAAGGGTGTTTTCTATCCCATCAACCGAAGGCTTCATACATTCGCAACTATCAGTGGTTAAATCAGTGTCCACAAGAGAACGACTCTTTGAAGTTTGCATGTAGGTATCAAAAACATACAACTCAGAGTCCTCCCCAACAAGAACTTTCGTTGCGTGCTTTCTGCGATACAAGTTTGAGATTGGCACTGGGCTGCTGCCTCATCCGGGCATAAGATACCCAAATTCTATGGTGGTGCGCGTAAAAGACGATCATCTTATCAGCATTTCCCTCCGGTGAGCCAACGATTAAAAAACATTCCCAGTTTTGCAACGTAAAAAGTTGACGCGCTTTGAATTCGAGCAAAGGAAAGAATGCGTTCTCACAGATCTACAGCTTTAGCAATCCAAAGATTTCTTCTGCGTGGATGTCGTGTTGGAAAAGAGATAGAAGGTTTCTAGAGTCTCATTCTTTTGGCGCGGACCTGAAAATTCCCAGCGCCGCGATCACCCCGAGGACACCCGCCACTGCCAATGCGGGAATTGGAGCTGGAGTCGTCAATCCGGCAGTCTAGAAAAAAGAAGCATCGGAACTTGTTGGAAAGATTTTCATGATTTCACGTACCTCGAGAAGGCCTTTGCCAGTGCCAATTTCTACCGCGAGCGTTCCGACAAATCCAAGCATCGCGAATCTTCCAACCCAAATGCCCAATTCTCCCCCGGCGCTGCTAGAAGCCCCTTGCTCGCATTTGACAGTCAATCCTCCCCCTCGTCTCCGTGCCAGCGATGGAATCGCTCTGCCCAGAGATGGAATTGGAGCCCCAAATCGCGATTTGAGACAGCCATGGCTCGCAAAACCCCGACTGGCGCGCAAGCCATTCGAAGTGAGAAGAATGGACGACGCCATGGAAAAAAATGTGGGTGACAAACGGACGGCCTAGAACTCCCGGCTCGCAATCCAACGGCTGGGATCGCAAGAGATTTTTCAAACTAAAGAACTCGAAAGAAAAAGGACAGGGGTTTTCGATGTGGCCGACAATGATCGACCATAGTTTCTTTGCTTGACGTTTTTGTTATGTGTTCCTTGACACGCACCTTGCCTTGATTTTTTCCTCTCTTTTCGTGTCTCTTTATTTTTCCATCTTTCTGGTGAGATAGCGCTGCCACCAGCCAGTCTCGATCGCTAGCCAGTATAGCTTTTGCTTGCCTGATACATAGATTCGGCCACAACACAGGGGATCAAATTCTTCTACAAAGAGAATGGAAGTTTCGGGGTGACGAAAATATGGTGTTGATCCCCAACCTCACACGGCATCGATAACTTTCCAGAGATTCAATCGCGCCTTGGCTGATTTTTCGGCTCCACTCCAGAAAAGAAGACAATTGTGGCTCATCGAAATTGATAACACTGTTTGGGATTATATGTCTTCTTGAGAATCACAAGATCTAAAACAGCACATACATTGTGATTGCGAGGTATATTTCTGTCCAAACGCTAGCTCCAAATCCCGATTTAACTTTCCATCTTGGCAGGCACGAGACAAGTTTTTCCTCTCGTTCAGGAGGTGGCCAGCGCGAGCAGTGCCGCTCGACACTTTGGAAATTGGGATCCACCGAAAGGGAGAAAAGGGAGCTCCTTTGGCCGTGGAGATCGATCATGGCAACTGCAAGAGCTATAAAACTTCGAAGAAAAGAGAGAGTGAAAGAGAGGGAGCCCACTCACTGGGAATCAGATCCGTAGTAAAGGAAGGGCTTCCAAAGTGGATGACAGTTCACAGGTGGTCATCCCACACCAGAAAGAAAAAAAACTTAATTTTCTGCTGGGTTGGGTGGCGGACGATCGGAAAAGCTTGCGAAATTTTAGGTCATGAAGTTGATATGTGTCGTGATCTTGATCAGCAGATTGAAATCGATATCAAGCTATGCTTATCGTTCATAGCCCCGTAATGCTGACCTCTGGGCTTTGGAGACGGGTGGCTATCCTCAGGGTCAACGGCTACGATTGCTACAGCGAGGACAACATGGACCGCGATCGCGTCTGACACGTCTGCCCTAGTGCTTAAGATTTGATTTTCAAAAACTAGTGTTACTTGGCGCGCAAGGGTGGAGTCGTGTCGCCGAGTGGGCGATTTACAAAAAATTTTGCCCGCGAGGCTTGACTTTTGGCTGCCCGTGCAGCGACAGAGCAGATTAATGAAAGCAGGGGATTCACATTTTTGCTTCCAAATCAAGCATTAGTCCTGATTAAAGTAAGGATATATAGAATGTGAAAGCTGGCCCTTTTGGTTATCTTAAGAAGTAAAGAGCTCAGCCAACGAAAGCAGCAAAGCAAAGAAAGCAAAGCTTGTTTCGCGAGACAAAGAGAGAGCGATTGAGAGAACAGTCACTGGGTGTTTCTTTCCTTTTCGTGTTTTCTTTTTGTTTTGCGTACGAATCTTAGCGTAGGCCGACCGTAGGAGAAGCTACATTTCTATCGCAGCGAAGAGAAAAAAGCCTGGGGAGTGAGAAGGAGTGAAGGAAAGAGAGGGGGAGTTCTTCGTCTTTTTCTCTTGATCCGGGATGACAGGAGCACAGAACTGGCAGGCTATGGCGCGATCCATCCTAGGCTTCGCTTTCGGTGGTACTGCGCGGTGGTGGTAGTAGTTTAGTGCTTGTTCTTGCTTGCCTAGACTGGTGAGTGATGAGATTTGAGCGCCCACTAACTTGATCGAGAGTGATCGAGTGAGAGAGTGAGAGGGAGAGAGACGTGTGTGGTCTCGGGGTTCCATTTCTTTGATCCCTGGCTTGTCGGATTCGCGGCGGCTAAATCGTATTGGTGTTCGCGAGAAATTAGCGAAATGGATCACGCAAGGTGGGAGCTATACCCGGCGGCGGCGCACGAGGAACAGGGGAGTCGCGAGGAAGAACAAGAACAAATCGAGGAGGAGAACGGAGGGTTTGTGTCAATTGCGCTGACGGGCGGCTCGGAGCTCGCGGAATTCAAGGCGCGCTGGCGGCTGCCGCTCTTCTCCGGCGATGGGCTTGGATCGACCCAGCTGGTGGAACTGAGGAGCAAGTCGGGGATTTGCGTGGATTCGGTGGAGCCATTCTCTTTCGCCGCCGCGGATCCTAGGCGCGCTGCCGCTGCTCCAAGTGGAAACGATGACGATGGCGCCGGCGTGAACAGCGCCACCAAGCTGCGATTGCTCGAGGGTCTCTCGGGGGCCGCCTCGCCGATCGTGCTCAAGAGCAGGGGAGTGATCCAGGCCGAGAGGCGGCGCCGGATGATCAAGAGCAACCAGGAGCTCTTCCTCATGGAGTCATCCAGGAAGACGAAGCAGAGGGCCGTGTCCATGGATGACACGAGCTTGAATCATCTCCACGAGCTCCACCACCACGCGAGGAAGAAGCTCACCAGCGTCGATGATTCGGCCAAGAACACGAAGAAATCATCGCCAAGCCTATCGCCGGCGGCGCAACCACTGCCGCTACCACCGCCGCCAGGGAATCCAGCGAGAAATCACCACCAGCACCACCGGCGGCACCTCAGTATCGATTTGCGCGCGTCGCCAGCCGCCAAGTTCGTCGTCCAGGTGATGCCATGGGAGATTTCTTCGCCTTCTTCGTCTTCCTCGCTCTTGGATCGTCGCGAGCATCCGGATTCGAGCAGGAGATCGATGGGAAGCCACTGCTTCGTGCCATTCAAATGGGAGGAGGTTCCAGGCAAGCCCAAGAACGTCAGCGCGGCGGCGAGCACTGGCAATGCTCTTCTTGATCCTGGCGGCCATGGCGCCGCGAGAAAATTGCAGCTCCCGCCGCGGCTCCAGCACCAGGATCACGAGCAGGAGAAGCAGCGTTCTCTGCAGCGATGCTCGCCCACGAGCACGCTAGATCGCACCGCCGTGGAGGGCTCTTCCTCGGCATCCTCCCCAAGGATCGATGCGTCTTTCTCATCCGCCACGAGCTCTTGTGCTTCCTCTTTCGCCGGCGATGGTGATCAAGCCCCGCGATGGATCAGGGCGCTACTGGCGCTGCACATCTGGGAGACCGTCCGGGCGATCTCTAGGCCGAGGAGTTGCGAGGACGAGGGAGGAGATCTTGCGCCGGAGATTCGCCAAGCCAAGAAAAAGAACGCCCTCGCCAAGAATGTGGCCGATTGTGCGGTGCCATACCCATCTTGGAGCCCGGCGCCGCTCCCGCGATCATCCTGGTTCCAGCGATCGCCGATCCGAAGCAAGAACAGCCGCGGCACGAATTGGGCGTTTGGAAAGATCGTAAGAAAGATTGATCTCTCGCCTCTAGGGTTCTAACGTGGTTTCTTGGATTTCCTTCCAGGCTTGGAGGAGCTGCAATATGGTCAAGAGAGCCGTGAGATTCCGGTGGTGGTCTTTGTCGCGATCATCCAGGGGTTTCCATAGCACCCGGAAGAACACGCGATCATCGGCAACGATCTACAAGCCTCTCTTGTGCCGAGTGGACGGCGATTCCAGCGCTTTTGGATGCTCCACTGCTAGAATCTAAGAAGAATATTACTTCTGTTTAGCACTTGGCCTTACATCGTGATTAGTTTAATTTGATCCGTAGTTGACCTCATGGCCCAATGGATAAGGCGCTGGTCTACGGAACCAGAGATTCTGGGTTCGATCCCCAGTGAGGTCGTATTACGTGTTCTTATTTAAAGTTGCGGCATAGGACAACCTTTACACCAAAATATGACATGGTTTTTGCATCCATAATTGCCATAAATATTTACATGATTTTTAAATTTTGCAAAAAATACTTTTTTCAAAAGCTAATAAAAAAGGGGTTCTGGTAGGGATCATTTTCCGACCCCAAAATTAAGAATGTTCTTCCCAAATCTATCCAAAATTTCCAAGAAGATGGCAACACCCAAGCCCACTGCGAGGGACTTCCCGTCCGTAGATGTCGGTCCACTAGTGATGAGCTTTCTGTTATTGTGTCACAGGCACGGAATCCCGGCAATTAAAGAACTCCATGGTCACGCAGCAGTGTCCTCTCAAGTGAGGCCAATCGTTTCTCTACAACTTCACTGCGGATTCACATATGGGAACTCTCTTCTGGCACGCACACATCATGAGTTACTGAGTATGAAGCCATCGTCATCTATCATCCATCCAAAGAGGACAATGCATTCAAGACCCCCTATGAAGAGCTTCTAAAGATCATGGAATAACCCAGTAAGTGCCGTGCTGTGCTTCTCCATCCGGCGGGCATCAAGAATTGCAAGCTCTATGGTGAGGAGGCTGGAAGAACACCATCACTGTCAATGGCAAGATCAACAACCTAGGCATCGCAATCACGCCTTAAGTTCTTAAACATCAACAACTATAAGTGTTTTTCTTTAGTACGGATAGGGCTTTATGGTGACTTAGCCCTAATTGGCAGCAATGATGAAGCGAGCGGCTATGGGGGCGATGGGCTTCACGCGCGCTGCTGGAGCACGGGGCGCTGGTAGATCCTTGCTTCGGTCGATGCAGCATTGTGATTGTGCCGCGCAGGGGCTTGGAGCAGCCGATTCTCGCAGCTGTCGACGGCGGGGCGGGACACGGATGCGCAGGACGACGCCAAGGCGGCGGCGCTCAAGGCGCCCGCGCGAGACGACGCGGAATCCCACGACGACTTCAAGCCAGTGGTGAAGACCCCGAGTGGATCAGTGCACGATACCATCGAGAAGGTAATCGAGTGATCGAGTGGAGAAATAGACTCAACTCTTTGGATTGGATCGTTGGTCCATCCAGGACATCAAGGAGAATCCCGTGATGGTTTACATGAAGGGCATTCCCGACGCTCCGCAGTGTGGATTCAGTGCGATGGTGGTCAGAATTCTCAAGCATTACGGTACGTGATCGAACAAAAGCAGCGTAGCTTTCAATCATGCTCCTGGTTGTTTTGTTCCTTTGCATTGCAGAGGTTCCTTTCAGTTCTAGAAATGTGCTCGAAGATCCCGAGCTCAGGGAGGGTGTGAAGTCTTTCAGGTGTGTGCTTTTGATTCTAGTCATGTTTTTTCGTTCTGCTTATAGTTTTTTTTTCCAGCAAATGGCCGACTGTTCCACAACTTTATATTCGAGGAGAGTTCGTTGGTGGCTGTGACATAGTAACAGATATGCATCGGGTAAGCAGCATTCCATATTTCTCTTGGTTCTTCTCGCAGAGTTTGGGTGATCGTTTCTCACTTTTGTTTCAAGCAGAATGGCCAGCTCGAGGAGAAACTCAAAGACGTGAAGCCAGATCTATGAGATACTAAACTGGAAACTCGTGAACCTTAGAGGAAAACTTTTGCAGTTTGACAAAGAGAAAACAGTTCCAAAATGCTTGATCTTTAGAGTTATCACTGAATGAAAGAAGCTCGCTCAAGTTTTCTAGAAAACAAGCTCGTGAGGCTTCATTCCACGCTTCAAGCTAAACCTCGCCGAGATGTACTGAGCCAACTCGGGCTCTCCCTGCTTGATCACGCCGACCACGACCTTGTCCACGGCCTCTTGTTCTTCCTTTCTCGCCTGGAAACACAAAAACAAACGTGAGTAACAAAGCCTTGGATGGATTTCCTGTGTACCTGTTTCATCTCGGGGGTCACCTCCTCCCCTTGCTTCAATTTCTTGAAGAAGCCATCGTCGTACTTGGCGACATCCAAGGAAGAGATGTCGATCTTGGTGGAAGTGGCAATCACGTACGCCTGGTTCACCCTCTTGAGCCGGACGCCGTTGAGAGCTCGCGGCCCTGCAAGAAAAATATCCATTGAGAACCCAAAGAGAAGAAACAAATAATGGAAAGATTTTAGAGTACCCGTGACGAGGAGGAGCCCAGATGTGAGCTGCTTGAGGAAGACGACGCGCTTCCCCTTGTATTTACCCGCGAGGAGGATGAGCACCGTGCCGGGTGTGATGCTCGATCTGGCATTGCGAGCTCGGGATCAAATTCCCCAAATCCCAAATCGAAAAGAGAGAAAATCTCTCGCGCTCACCTCAGCTTCGTGGGACGGAGCTTGCGTCTGAGAGTGCGGCGCACTGGCTCATCGTCGGCTGGGTAGTACTTAGACTTGGGCTTGGCCGCATCCTCCTTCGCCGCCGTCACCATCGCTGCGCACACAAGAACCCTAATGCCCAAGCCGTCCTAGCCGTTCGATCTACTAAACCCTAACCCTAATAGCTAGCCCCACAAGCCCTAAAATTTAACACCCTTTGAGAGAAAAATATAAAGTTTTATGTATGTATAGTTTGCTTAGTGTTCTTCTACACTGGCTTTCTGGTATGGAGGGCGCTTCTTTCCATATAAGAAAAAGAAAGCCACGGCGGCCACGCTCAAGATCACAAATCTTACAAAAGCTTCCCAATGGAGCTGAAAAAGAACCAAGAGTTTAGCAAGCATGAAAAGCATTCCCTCTTTACCTGAGAAAACAATGCCATGTTGAAGAAAATGCTCACTAGAGGCACTGTAGGCACCCATGGGCATGGAAATCCCTGTGGAATCCTGTACTCCTAGAAAAAACCAAGAACAAAACATCAGAAGGAACACAAAAGAGCGTTTTTTACCTGTCTAGTGTAGAGAGGAACTGCGACCAGCGCAGCTAGAACGAGGCCTGCGATTGAAAATGCGAAGTGGACTTTGAATCGAACAAGTATCCCGACGATCAAGCCAAGCACCGCGACTCCGAGCAAACAAAACACCGCTTCACGCCATCGCGGTTGCTCATCACGTTGGTTTCTTTGTTCCTCGTTTCTCAGGCGCAGCATTACAACACAGGCACAGACAGTAGCATATCCAACCTGCAAAGAAAGAGAAGATCAAGAAAGAAAACTGATAAGAATGAAGCTCTGTTTCGACTTCTCACCAAGCAGCCAACCGAGAGTATGTGTGAGAGGTGACTGACGTCCAAGACCAGTGCTAAAACTCCAGCCACTGTGGCCACCCAGAGCTGGCCATAGACGGGAGTGTGGTGTGTTGGATGGATCCTTGCAAAAATCGAAGGCAGTAGTCCGTCTCGGCCAAGTCCCAAGTAAAGCCTGGACTGCCTCGCAATAACAACGATGCCAGTGATAGAACAAAGAAGATGAAAAGGAAGAACTTGAGATTACCTGGACGTAGAGGCCAACCAGCAAAGTAGTAGTGAGGCCGAAAACAGCACCGATGTCAATCAGCACGCTGATGAATTTCAATCCTCTGCCGGAGAATGCATTGGCAAGAGGAGCTTCCCCGTCGAGAAGATAATAAGGAACCATGCCGGTGACAACCAAAGAAACTGCAATGTATAGCACCGCACAAACCAGCAAGCTTGCAATAATACCGATAGGCAGATCACGCTGGATGTAAGACGAGAGGAGGAAAAAACCATCAGAGTTTGTCACAAGAAAAAAAAGGTAGGAGTTTACCTTGGGATTCTTGCTCTCCTCGGCAGAGTTTGCAACAGCATCAAACCCGACGTAAGCGAAGAAGACCACAGTTGCTCCGGTGACAATCCCGGAAAATCCAGTCGGAGCAAAAGGTGTCCAGTTTGATACATCGATTTGGAAAATTCCCACAGCAACCACCAGCAAAACAATGCACACCTGAAGGGAAGAAGAGCAGCAAATATCACAAAAATGAAAAGAACAGCACAAAGTTCTTCGGACCTTGTTGATCGTCATGACAGTGTTGAGAGTGGCAGACTCGCGGACACCCATGCACAGCACAGCCGAGAGCATCGCTAAAAGAGCTGGAGCGAGAGCGTTGATCGAAAGCCATCCATTGAGCAGCTCCAATCCCCCGGGTCCGATCCACAGCGGCATGGTTTTCCTGAGCGCTGGGAACAAGTTTTGGAGCAAGGATGCGAGGTAGCTGGCGAGACTCCGGGCGATATTGGCAGCACCGACGTGGTAGTCGAACATGAGATGGACGAACACCAAAAACCCCACGAGCTCGTTGAAAGTCTCGCGAGAGTAGAGATAGGCTCCACCGACAAGCGCCGGGAATCGAGAGGAGAGCTCCGCATAGCACAGCGCGTTTAGAACGCACGCGGCTCCAGCGAGCGCAAAGCTCACCGCAACACCTGCGATTCATCGAAGAATTCCTCCCAAGAAAGAGAGAGAGAGATTTACCAGGGCCAGCGTCGTGAGCAACCGTCCCAGTGATGACGAAGATGCCGGCGCCGATGGAAGCGCCAATGCCGAGGAGTATGAGATCGACCATGCCGAGCTTCCTGACGAGGCCGGCATCGCCACTGGAATCCAGCAAGCCCCCGCCCTCGTCGCCATGGCGCTCCATTGGAAAATCCCCAAACCCTAATTGGGAGCGAATATTCTATTTCAAAATTTTGCGGTCAAAACTAGGGCTCCTGAGATTTACACAACGCTGAGACTAAGAGATCTTCTCCTCCAGTTTTTGAGATGGAATTCGCTCTCCACAAGTAGCGTGTCTTCTTTCGATCCTGGTAAAGAGAATTTTCAGATAAAAATTTATGTTGACAAATTTATTTTTCTGAAACAAACCTATATTAATTTTTCACCCTTATGTTTTTCATTAATATATTACAAAGTCCAATATTTCATAGCAGAACGCATGCGCTGCTCCAGCGAGTGCAAAGCTCACCACAACACCTGGAATTCATAAAAACATTCCTGTTCTTCGTGGTAGCAATTGTCAAAAGAAACAGTGGGAGACAATATTCGATTTCAAAATTCTGTTGTCCAGATTAGATTGTGTAGAGGACAATGCTGGACAAACCAGATAGGACGACGGGAAGGAAGTAAGCGATGGAGATTTTGATGGAGCTGGATGATGGAGGTGGTGCCGTCTGCCCCGGAGAGTTTGATCCTGCTCCTGGTGCTGGAGGTGGAATTCCCTCTGCCCCGGGTAAAGATGATGGCGCAAATGCCTCGGGAATTCCATCTCCCTCGGGTGCGTACGCGAAGGATGGCGGCGCTTGGACGTCTCCACAAGTACCGCTTGTTGCGTTTCTTTCGATCCTGGTTTCGATCAATCATCCAAAAGATGATCTCGGCAGGACAAAATAAAACGACGCTCACCTTGTGAAGATTTGGCGATTGTTGTATCCATCGTAGAGACACGACTCGATCGTGCAGCCTCCGGAAGAATTCGCCCCGGTGCTAAAGTTGCCGATTTGGAGACGAGAGTTTCGGCAGCCAAGCGAGCAATTCCGCGGAGCCGTAGGAGCTCTCGTGCAGTGAAGCCTGGATCATGAAATCAAACCTTGACACCCTTGGAAAGTTCTAAGATTCCCATACTCTGTTCCGTCGCAATTGCATTGGACGCAACCATTGGCAGTGATCGCATAGCCTCCAGACGCCACAGTCAGGTTGGAATCCAGAGCGCTTCGATTGAATCTAGCCCTGCAAGCTACACACATGCACACCACAAGATCATCAAGCTAGTCTTTGTAACGTACAAGACGTTACCTGGAACTGGAAGCTCGATCACAGCGCCCGCCTGCGACACATTCACCGAAGGATTCAAGCGATCAAACTCTTCCTGCGAGAGATTGTAGCTCCGGTAGAAACCCTCGCGGGATTCCCCATCCTGGATCACGTACGCCATGAAGAGCGCATCGCGGCCGCCGAACGAATTCCCGCGGCAAGAACAGGGGTACGGAATGGTGAGGTTTTGCCCGGCCAAGATCTTGTCCAGATCAACGACGCCGTTGGCGGCGGCGATCTCTTGTATGGTGACGAGTCCTCCGTACCTGTTGTTAGCGATCTGGAAGAGGAAGTCGCCCGGGGCGATGGTGTAGGTGGTGTTGCCCGATCGCTGCCCATTGGCGGCGCAGGAGCAAGGGACTGGAATCCGGAGGGTCTCCCCAGTTGAGAGCCGGGAGGAGGGATCGTCCGAGGGCGAGAAGGCGTTGGCAGCGAGGATGGCCTGGACGGGGATGGAGAAGAGGCTGGAGATGTTGGCGATGGTGGGGGAGAACTGCGAGCTGGATCTGTAAGCGAGCAGCGCTTGGCAGGGGGGATCGACGGTGGCGCGGCAGCTCTCGTTGAAGGAGGCGGCGTGGAGCTGGATAGGGGCGATCGACCCCAAGAGGAGAAGGATTAGAATGGGAACGCCAATGCCGATAGTGGGCGCCATGGATCCTCGAAAGAAAGGGGATGTGATGTGATCCTTTAGTGGCTACCGTTTATTTGCTGGATCGATCAATCAAGAGCGCCCATTGGGCACACGGTGGTTTCTTTGATGATGAGTCAACACGGCACGCTGCGCGAGAGTTTGACTCTAGAAGAAATGAAAAGTCTCGAAGCATCACTTTTTTAAAGATCGAATATGCCGTTTTCAAATTTGAATCTGAAATTTGGGCGCGAGCATAGATCCAGTTCATACTTTGTGGTTTTGGAAGTCATCTATATTCCGGACGGGCCCCTTGAACCACTTTCGCGCGTCTACAATCCACCACAGCGTGATCGCCGCGAGCACCGCTCCCAGCGCGACGGGCGCGTAGTTAAACGTCTTGAGCTCGATGGGGTAGACGGTCGGGAGGAGGAACACCGCGACGGTGTAGCAGATCCACAGGAACGAGACGAGGCACACGACTCTACTGGCGGGGCCGAGGTGGAATCGCCCGCGGTGGAACTGGGCCTCCGGTATCACCATCCGGGCGAAGATCGGCACCGCGTAGCCTCCCACCCAGCCGATGGTACACACGGACGTGATGGCCGTGAAGACGACGTCGACTTTGAGAATTGGCAGGCCCAGCAGGATGCAAAGGGCCGAGCACAGCCAGACTGCGTTGGCCGGGACCTTTCGCTTGGGGTGGACCACTCGCCAGACTCGAGAGTATGGGATTCCACCATCGCGTGAAAGAGCATAGACCTGTAAACGCGGCGGCGACTTGGTCATTCCTCGGTGAAAGCGAAAGCAGTGAAGTAGGACTGACGAGAAAACTTACAACTCGAGCGGCGCTGGTGGTGATTGAGAGGCCCCCGAAGAAGAAGGAGCCCCAGATGATGATCAGCAGCAGGATTGCTCCAATGCTGCTGTGGTAGCGCCCGTGGAACGCATCGTAGAGTATCTGTGCTGGGACGTATTTTCCAGCGGTTTCGTTGCTAGGATCGAATAAGTACGTAAAATCCTGTCACCGCCAGCAACAGAAGACAAGAATGAGTCCGCTACAGAAAAGAAAGCGGAAAGTGCTGCCTTACCTGGATGCTAAAAGTCAAGGCGAGTATGTATGCCCACCCAAAAACGGAGACTAGTCCTATGGACGAAAGAATCGCAATGGGGCCATTGATGTCCGCACCTTTTGTTTCTTCCGTCAAGTGTGCAGCTGAGTCGTAGCCGTAGAGGGAATACTGGCTGACCAACAAAGAGAGGATGAAGCAGTATGCCCTGTTATCGATGCCGGTAATGCTTGGAAACGTCTCAAACTTCGTAAACACAAACGATGCTGACTGAGTTTTCGGGGCGACCAGAGGCAGAAGAATCACTATAAGTCCGCCACCAATAACCTGTGTCCAGAAAAATGCACGGAGTGAGCAAGACGGACAAAGCTCAAGCACCAAAAGGTCGCGAACCTGCCACCACATTGAGACAATGTCGATGAGCGCAATCACGTTCAGAGCAAATGTGTTCAAGACGGCCCAGACGAGAGTGAAACCAACGTACATGGCTAGAAAAACACCACGAGGAGCAAGGTACCCACCGCCCTTCGCGGTTCCAGACGCAAGCAGTATTATATTTTGTAAGGCTTGAGCTCCTGCGTAAGCCTGATGATATTAAGAAGAATATCTAAGTGCCCAGTTGAAAGTTTCATGCTAAAGAAGCTCCAAAACTTGCCTGAGTTCCAATGGCTGCGATCAGTCCAATCGCTTCAAGCCAAGCACAGTACCACGAAGACAATGGACCCCATCTTGGCCCAGCCAAGTGAGCTGCCCAGAAATACAGCGACCCCGTTGTCTGCGAAAGAAGCCACGCAATGAGTAAAGCCAAACGAGAATATTTTTCTTCTACTCACAGGGAACGAGGAGCAAATTTCCGCCATAGCGAAACCAATGAACCACGTAAAGAAGGTTACGATGACCCATCCCCAGATTGTTGCGGCCGGTCCCAAGTACGCATAGCTAGGACCAATTAGCGGCGTAATTCCTGTGAAGAGCGTCATTGTGGAGAATGAGATTGCCATGATTTTCAGCAACGTCTGCACGAAAGTCAAGCCACAGTGAATAAAGAAACGCCAGCACCGACTGCCACACTCGAATTAGATCGGGCGAGTCGCTCGCCCAATATCATTGACGAAGAACACTGCTCCAGTCAATCGAAAGAAAAAAAAGGACAGGAAGGAAAAACAGGCAATCATCGAATCCCATCCCGGCATTGCTTGGAACCGGCAAAATGCCGACTTGATCAAGAATCACGGACAAAGACGACAGCATACCGATCGAAATCCTCTCAAGATCATGAATCACGGACAACGCGGCAGCATACATCCTCTCAAGATCACGAGTCACGACACTAAGGACGTCGCAAGGCCTAGAATGAGAGGAATGCGAAATATTTACCATCTCGCGGCGGAGCTCCTGCTTGTATCCCAGCTGATTGAGGCGGCGCTCGGCGGGATCGAGGCTGGCATCCTCGATCAGAAGCTCCTGCTCCATGGCGCTCTTTGGCGCCGGTGCCCTGGCGCTATCGCTTAAAGCGATTTTCCCTAATTCTTGCTCCTGTGCTTGGGCTACCATATTGTTCCAATTCTAATGACAGAATGCTAACGTTAGAGACGTGAGAGCCCTATAGCTCTTGGCGGCCACAAAATGGAGCAAGCATCCCCCCATTTATATTTCCACGAAGCATAGACTTTTGGAAGCCCCTGCCTATAGAATACAACACTCTTATCAAATATCAACCTGCCACGTGGATGCAGACTTGTCAATGGGGTCTTTTAGGGTTTTCAATTATTGTCGGAAAGCCCTACCGCTGACTTGTCAATGTAGCCTGGTTAGGGTTTAGGGGTTTGCGGCAAGCGCCTGGCGGAATGCGCTCTCCGGATTTCTCGATCTCTCTCTCGATGCCTCCAGCGGCGCTCGCCAGTGGCACGGGCGCCGCTTCTCTTGCTCTGCGCTCGAGGAATTTGTGCTGCGCGGCGACCGCGGGCGTGGATTTGAAGAGCGCGGTCTCTCGCCCCGAGATTTCGCAGGCGATTCGAGAGGCTGTGCCACATTGTCTCACAGAGACGAGGCTGGACGAGACTGTTCCTGGATTGGGTCCTAAGCGGCGAGGAAAGGTATGAAATATTCTTTTAGCCCCCACTAACTAAAATCGATGATTCCTTCCACTGGCTACAGGTGAGAGATGTGTATGAAACAAAGGATCATTTGGTAATCGTAACCACTGATCGGATGAGCGCGTTTGATCGAGTTTTGGCTTCGATTCCCTTCAAAGGACAGGTTTGTTTATGCTTTTTTTCGTTACTTTTCCAGTGGAAAAAAAGTCTTTGTGTTGTTTCCTTAGGTCCTGAACCAGACAAGCGTTTGGTGGTTTAATAACACAAGACACATCACTCCAAATGCCTTTGTTTCGGCTCCTGATCCCAACGTCACCATTGCAAGGAAATGCGCAGTGTTTCCGGTGGAGTTCGTTGGTAACAGTGATTTTTTTCTCGACGCTCGGGCCTATTAAAGTTTCTCCTGTCTTTGTTTTTTCTTCTTTTTCTTGTAGTCCGAGGTTATATCACTGGAAGCACGAGCACGTCGCTGTGGACAGTTTACAACCAAGGCATCCGGTATTATTGCGGGAACGATCTCCCTGAAGGTTCTTTCTTGTTTTCGTTCTTCGTTAAGGAACTGTTTGCCTGAGTTTTCTTGCTGCCAGGGCTGATAAAAAACCAGCGTCTCGATTATCTCATGCTCACTCCGACTACAAAGTCTGACGATCATGATCGGCCAATTTCCGGCGAAGAGGTGAAAAGTTAGTGACGTTCAGCATTAAATGCTGTACTCATTTTAACATTGAATCTTTAGATTGTGGAGCAAGGCCTGATGTCCGAGGCTGACTATAAAAGCGTTTCCAGTAAAGCTCTTGCGCTTTTTGCTTATGGCCAGGTGGGAGAGAAACGTTTTGTTTTTTTTTTTTCCTTACACTCCTTGCATGCTTTGTGCAGGAAGTTGCCTTGAAGCACGGCTTGCTGCTTGTAGATACGAAATATGAGTTTGGGAAGATGGCAGATGGATCAATATGTTTGATTGACGAGGTCGACCTTTCTAACCATGGGAATCAATGTCAATCAAAAGTCTGAACTTTTACTTTTCTAGGTGCACACGCCTGACTCGAGCCGATATTGGATCGCTGGATCATATGAGGAGCGAATGAAACAGGGTCTGGAGCCTGAAAACATTGACAAGGTATTTAGTTGTGTCTTTTACCAATGGCTCTTTTCGAACTATTTAAGCAGGAGTTCCTTCGACTCTGGTTCAAGGACAATTGCAATCCTTACGAAGACAAGGTCTGGCTCGTGGTCGTTCTTTATCGATTTTTTTCTCCAAACACCGATTTCTTTGTAGGTTCTCCCGGACGCTCCAGTCGAACTAGTGACTGAACTCGCATGGAGGTGATTTACGAAACACACTCTCTTTCCTTTGCACTTAGCTGACCGGTTTTTCCAGATACATCCATTTGTACGAGACAATCACTAGCGAGAAAATGATAGTCCCGGAGAAAGCCGAGGTAAGAAATTGCGATTTTTAGAACGAAACACAAAAGGTTGAGTTCTTGCGTGTGCACTTGACAGGAGGACGCTCACGAGAGGATCACGAGGAGCGTCATTCAAGCATTATGAACGTGCAGAGAAGTCCCCGGCGTACGCTTTGCAAAGAATCTCCCTTTTTTTTTTTTAACTTTCTCTTTGTCTCTTGACGTGAACTCAATCAACTTTGCTCGCTGCCTTGCAGTCACAGCCAACCAAAACCGATCGCTTGAGCCAAGAAAAAGAATAAGTCCACCAATGCGGCCTTTGTCGCATTACACATACGTATGAATACATCTCTCCCCCTCCAATCTGTACACTGTTATTCCTTCAGAGTAGAATGGTTTTGATTGACTCTTCCTTTTTTTCACTCGAGTTTCTCGCTTGGCCAGAGTTTGGTCCAGATGGAAATCTCCTCCTTGGTGCGCAGCTTTCGTACGCCACCATAGAAGCCCTCACCTTCGTTGCCTTCTTCGCAGTGATTGGCTCTGTTGATAGGAGCCTTGCGCCATCTCGATCCGAGCGTGTATTGATTGAATTCCAACCAGACAATCTCTACAACCAACGAAAACAAATCAACGAAGAATCTCATCATCCTGCTGCGGAAAAAGCGAGAAACTCGGACCACCAACTTACCGTGAAGGTGACACTGGCACTGGTGGTTTCTCGGGCACAAGTCCGTGTGGCCAACGATTCCATACCACCATCCTGGCAGGAAGAAGTCACGGGTAAAAAAGAGATGGCGGAGCTTCTCGTACTGACCATATGGGAAGTCTCTGTTGCGTCTCCACTGGACCTCGATGTGATCCCCCGGTCGCAGATCGTGGAGGCAGTCCGAGGCGTGGAGCTCGTGAGCGGCCGTGTCCACTGGAGGAGCTCGGACTCGTTCCCAGGGAACGTCCTCCTCGTAGACACTGGTGCGCGGGCCGTGTGGAGGATAGCTGAAGCTTCACAACACCAGCGCGATTCAAGCACTCTTTCCTGGATGACGAGCTTTGTATCACAGAAAAAAAGCTCTTTTACCTTGCGAGGAACACGTCAGTGGCGCTGTTGTAGCTCACCTCGGCATCGTAGCACGAAAGCATGAATCCGACGTGACCGTTCTGTGCAAGCAAAGAGGAAAAGAAGAACAAACAAGCAAACGCTTCCGTGAGGAACTCGTCCAAAGTTTTGGCGAAGTTGGCTCTCACCTCTCGGTTGTAGACCTGAGCTGGGAAGCGAAATCGACCGGTTTCCAGATCCCAGTACCACGCCATGAGCGAATTCTCGCCCACTGCCGCTTTGCTCCGCCGCTGCGCCTGTGGATTCATCCACGACACCGGTAGAATGCACGAGAGCGGCCACAACCAAATCCCCGAGGAACGAGAGCAAGGCTCGCTTCCACACTCTTCTCTCGCGGCCAGGCCGAGTTGCCACTCCGCGAAAGCCAGCCTGCCAGTGACTTTCCCCCATTTCTCGTAGACGAGAGCTTCCCAGAGATGGTTGCTCCGGCACTTCTTCCGCAATTCCCTGCACACTCCGGCCATTTGGCACAGCGCCACCGCGGGGAGGCGAGTGAGGATGCCTTCCATGACGAGCTCTGGCAGATCCAGGAAGCCCAGCTGCCTGGAATCCTCCACATTCTCCACCTTCTTGACACACCTCCGCGAAAACATGACTAGAACTCTTCCCTGGACAAGCTCGAGCAAGAATTCGACAAAGAGCCAGTTCCAGAGGATGGTCATCTCATGCTGGAACTCACGCAAAGAGGAAGAAGAGAAGAAAACAGAGAGGAAGAAATCGCCCAGCACGACAGTTATCAGCCAAAAACTAAGCCCAGTCGGTTATGGAAACAATTTCTTTCGCGAAAGAAAGAGGAGAAGAAGCCCAGGCCAGAATTGGAAGGAAGAAGAAGCATAGCGGAGAGTTTTTCGCGCGATTTCTCCCACAATTGGGGGACTGATCGTCAAATGCCACTGCTGGATTTCGTCAATGGAAATCAGAGAAAATCGCCAGTGGCACCAGTGGTAGCGAGGGATTTCCAGGCGCGCCGATTCAACGCGGGGCCTGGCATTGGAAAGGAATCGACGTACTTACCACCAGCACGCGCGAGATTCCATCCATACCAGCCCAGCGCCGCGACGATGGCGCAGCGCTAACTAAAACCCTAACCTGTCATGATCGCTTTTGTTCGTGTGGTGACCCGGTATTAGATAGTGACATTGTGCCTAGCATTCTCGTCTAATTCGACGGCGAGGGAAAAAAAAAGATTTAGTTTCTAGAACTTAGCGAGAGAAAAAAAAACTTTAGTATTTGGCTTCTAGTCAAGCCATCGATCGATCCTAGATTTTCCTCTAGTCTAATAAGAAAAGAAAAGAAAAGAAAAGGAAACAGAGATCTTAACTTCTAGCAAGCAAGAAAAAAGATCTTAGCTTCTAGTCAAGGAAAAAAAATTCTAGCCCATCGATCGATCGATCGGTCGATCGGTCGATCATCCACTTTTGATGGGTCTCACGCTCTCCAGTAAATACGATAGCCCCGTGACGACATGGAGGCGAGAGTATGGAACTCCCGTCTTTGCGAGAGCTCTTCCTCGCGAATCCAGGAGAACGAAGCATGGGACGTATTTGATGTCGTAGTAGAGCACCTGGAGAGATGATCGAAACGCCATTAAGTTTGGAGGATCAAACACAAGATCATAGTACCTCTGGAAGCCACTTCTTGTTATCCACATCCGCCATGACGATGCCCAGCCAGTCCTGGTTCTTGCGCTCCACTTCCAGCACCAGATCCAGCAGCGACTTGCAGAGCGTGCACTTGGGCGAGTAGAACTCGAGGATCACGGCCCTTTTCCTGCTGGATAGAGCCAGAGCTAGAGCTCGCTGCTCGGCCTCCCCTTGTTCTTCTTGGGATAACTCCGCTGCTTCACCACCATCCTTTCGGCCCAGTCCCTGGATGTGAGCTACGAGGGGTGCTAGAGGATTCCTCGCCCTGGAAGTTTTACTAGATCTAGCTCTAGCTCTAGCTGCTGCTGGTACCTGAGTGACGAGACGATCGATCAGCTGGGGGGGCAGCCTCTGGAAGAATTCACCGACGTTCTTGAGCGCTCGGCAAGCATCCAGGCTCAAGCGCTCCGGGACTTGGGTGTCCAAGACTGGCCATCTTTGCCACTGCACGCCTTCCCGGCTGCTCATGCCTCACATCACTTAGGTTTCAATGAACAGTGCATGGAACGGGGAATATTCTCATCGGCGCCACCAGAAAAACTGACCAGTGAGCGGCGACTTTTGGTTGTGCCTCAGAGGAATGGTCAGCACCCGTTTTCTGCAAGTCGCAGGAACGAAACGACGAGGAGAAATCTGCAGCAGCTTGAGCAACTCTGGTGCCTGACGAAGTTCTCGCTGATGGCTCTGAAATTTTGCCGTCCACAGAGCTGTTAAAGTTGGTGGAATCTTGTGAGCTGAAATCAGTAGCTCATCAAACTGATCATTCCAAGCTGACTAGTCGGGGCAGTGCCCCTTCACTTACAAATCCTACAATCTATGCAAAGCTCCAGAGCTAAGGACTCTATCTACTTGTAGATAAACTCCCACAACCTTATCACAAAACTCGGGTAATTTGTTTTGCAGGAGTAAAGCTGCGAAGCTACTTAGTATCTAAGGAGATAAGATGAGGGCCCTAGAAAGCTTGGATTGTGTACAAGAACAATCGCCTTCACCACCTTTGTCTCCCAATGAAACTAATCTTGGAATCTTGGAATCTTGTAGAATCAGATTCCAAATTTTCATGTTTATTGCTCACTTTAGATCTTTTGTAATTCCCTTAATTCTTCCGAATCACCTCGCTGGGGAAAACACCATATGATGCTGAATATATTTGAGCCTTGCCCTGAGCAAGATCAGAATAGCTAAGAGCAAAACTGGCAGAAGAGGGGAATTCTAGACCTTCAAGTAGCGATTGAGGAGTGTGGTAGTGCTGTAGTTGAAGCCTTCCACAACTTTTCCCTTGGTCCGCCACAGATGCATCTGGTTACGAACTTTTCCCGCCAAAGACTGGTTTTTGGATGGTGCAGAAGTGAGTGACAAAGTAATGGAACTATTTGGAGAAAGAATCACCTTTCCAAGCTCGACGCCCCATTGATCAAAAGAGTTGATGCCCCAGATAAAACCTTGGACCGCAATCCTGTGCTCGTAAATGGCAAGGAGCTGCAAACGTTTGTTTGAGTGACAAATGGATGAAGATCTTCAAGAAGCTTTGTGTACCTGGCCAATTGTATATGGCGTGAGATTCGGCAGCAGCAGGCTTAAAGACGGACGATTTCCTGTAAAAGTCTGTGCACCAATAACAACGCATAACAAGCAGAGGATATAGTGAAAGAAAGATAGAATTTTCACCTTGTGTGGTACAAGACTGTCGGGAACACCCTCAGCTCGAAGCTCATCCGGAGTCTATAGGCAACAAAGAAGTGATCTGTTGAAAACATAAAGATCCAAAACCAGGAAGGAAAGAAAATGAGAAAGAAAGAGATAATACCTTGCCGTAAGCAAGAGCATCAGCCTGCGCGAAGAAGTTGCACATTAGTTCATCGTGATTACTCACTGGTTCTCCTGCACAAATACAACGTTTTAAGAATGCAAAAATGAAGAGCTGAGATGATTAGACGGACCTGACAAATACATTGGCTGCTGACTCTTGATTATTCCAACGAAATCGCAGGGAATGATTCGTCCCTACATGAAGTCTCCCTCGATCATCAACGAAAGAACCACATACTTAAAATGTACCTGGTGAATCAACTGATAGAAACTGTGTTGTCCATTTGTTCCTGGCTCACCAAAGTCAATCTCGCCAGTTTCATAAGGTAGCGGAGTCCCGTCAATGCTAACACCCTTTCCATTGCTTTCCATACTCAACTGCAAAAAAGCGCATAAGATGAAAAAAAAATGTTATATTCATACTCAACTGCAAACGAGCGCATAAGATATAACCAGTATACTTTAAATTTGAATTCAGTGAATCACGTACTTGTTGAATGTGCGGAGCAAATTTTTGCAAAGCTTGGGAATAAGGAAGAATGGCCTGCGAAATAGAATTGAACCAAGAAATTGGAGCTTGGAAAAGCTTACCCTGGCTGGACAACCGAGAAAAGAAACGTTCCATACGCTTATGAGACCCAATAGGACCTGTAAAAAGGTAACTATAACATGAATTTGGGTGTGCTTTATCTGTGGATTAGTAGGCTCACAAGCACATACTGGCAAGTTTCTTTCAAAAGGCGCAACTCGAAAGTGGCTGTCTATACTGGAAGCGCCTTCTAAAAACCTTCAAAGATAGAAGTTCAGTACTGATTGAAAAGCCAAAACAAAGCGAATGTAGCTCACTCGTTAACGTTGGCGAAGCCGTACTGGAGCGCTAAAGGAAGAACTCCAACAGCACTACAAACTGCTCAAAGAACTAGCATAACTTTGGGGAAGAAGTGAAAAGAGAGAAGCCTACGTACCACTGTAGCGACCGCCAACCCAGTCCCAGAAAGCAAATGCATTAGCAGGATCAATGCCAAATTCTTTAACGAGCTACAAAAACATAGACTCCATAAGTAAGTTTCTCATGAAATCGTGTTGGTTACCTTCAAATTGGTACTGACAGCCACCATATGCTTTGCAACAGCCGCTGGACTGAAAGGTTTGTACAGGCGTGCTCAGATTCTACGACTGGAGAAAAATAATAAGAAACTTGCCCAAGTGTAGATGTGATCCACGTTCTCATCGTTCGGGCATTTAGCATTGTCTCCACCGTTGTGAATGTCTTCGAAACAATGACAACTACAGCGATTGAAATGAGCTTCGAATAAATTGTTAAGGCGTGAGTAATCACCTAGAGTGGTTTCCTGGCTTAAACCCTTCAAGGTAAATGCAGCATCGATAGGATCCACATTAGATAAACTGCACAAAAGCTATAAATAAAAAACCCAGGAACTTTGAGACTTACAATAGCAATCTGCGTCCCTTGGCAAGTCGTGCACACCCAGGCTCTGCAATGAACAAAAGAATTTTAACAAAAGAAGAGAAATATCTTCAGTCCAAGCAAACCAGTTTGCATTGCAGTATGAACGAACAATGGTCCTAGAAAACTTCCACCAATTCCAATCGCCACAACGTCAGTTAAAGGTTTCCCGGTAGCCCCGAGCTGTAAGCTCACTGTTAATCGACCAAAAGAATTCATCGCTTACCCATTGCCCCTCACGAACTCTGTTTGAAAAATCTTTCATTTTGTCAAGAACTTCCCAGACCTCGGGAACTACGTTCTTGCCGTCGCAGGCTATCAGTGCCTCCCTTGGTGCCCTCAAAGCCACATGAAGCACGGGACGATCCTCTGTGCTATTTATCTGCCGATCAAAAGACCATGATCAATCAGCAAAACGAACTCTCCGCAACTTACGTGATCACCGCCAAACATCCTGTCAATCTTATCTTTGAGCTTCATCTCCTGCAAGAGAGCTCGTCAAAAACCAAGAGAAAGAAAGAACCTCCGTACCTTTGCAAGCTGAAACAGCTTCTGGAAAGTGTCCTGTGTTGCTCTTTGACGTGAGAAATCAAGAGCAATCCCGTCATACTCTCTAAAGCAGTTTCCAAGGTCATAAGATAGTTTTCTGTAGCTGTGGCAAGACTTACTTCATCATCGATTCGCACCGGGCCTTGTCGCCAAGCAAGTCTTTGAGATGTAATTTGCTTATCTCCCCAACATGGCTCTGTACAGAAGTTTGAGCAAACAACGAAAGAAAAAAAAAAAGAAAAACTCACTTTGAGCTCTTGCCAAGCTTTTGTGTCGACGATTCCACCCCTGGCAGAACTCATCTGCCTCCCCGGCGACGCCTGGAGGCCAGAAAAGTAAAAAACAAAGAAGGAAATCACCTTGCATTTGAATCCCAAGGGTGAAAAGTATACCATTTAAGTCTTTTCAACTGATCTAGACGCGCAACACTCAGCCACACATGAGACGTGATGAAGCGCCAAAAAAGAAATGGAGACACGTACCATGAGAAGCGAAGCCGCAAACAATTTCCTTGAGTAAAGGGGCACGTCCCACAATTTAGGGCTGCCAACCCAGTTTAGGACAAGATCTTACACAGCCGTCCGATGGCGAATATCGGACGATCGAGAAGACTATGGAGGGAACTTTCGTCTTGAACGAAGCATGGGACGTATTTGATAGAGCACCTGGAAATGATAGAAATGCGAATGATGAAACAAGTTTGGATGAAGATCAAAGGAAGTACCTCTGGCTATCGAAGTAGTGGTGTAGCTGAAAAACCAGGCATTGTCATTGCGGATTTATGTGCACTTGGGGGAGAAGAACTCGAGAATTACGGCCTTTTGATAGAGCCAGGGCCAGCGCTCGCTGCTCGGCCTGCTCCCCTACTTGTCATTCGTGTCACGCTCGCTTCGTTCTCGTTGCGCTGCCTCTTTCAGTGCCACCAGAAAGTGGTGAGTGTCGACTTTAGTTTCCAAGGCCATGCCAGCGTAAGCGAGGAACGGTAGCTTTCGTAGCACCCGTCCACTGAGTCCCTGCGAATCCAGTCGTCAGGGCAGGAGAAACGAAAGAGAAATCCACCTCGGCAGCTTCAGCAGTCTGAAGCAATGAATTGGAAAGGATGTCAGGCATGCTGCAGTTCATAGACTGTAATAGTGTGTCGTAGCTTACGAAGTTCTCGCTGATGGATCCATTCTGCTGTCGACAAAGCTGGTAAAATAGTAGATTTTTGCAGACAGAAAGCACTGACCGCGGAGGATGAAATTAGTCCAGTCCTTTCCAGCTCTTTCATACAGCTTCGTAGGATTTCGTATCGAGCTTCCAGCGTCGGTGGTCCAATGTATGCTTTTATGTCTGCTCGATCAACAAATGCAAGGTCTGGAACCAGGTGTCAGGGATATATTTTTTGGACAATGTCGCTCGTACCAATTGCTCCAGTGATGTTTGATGTGGTCAAAACAACAACATTAGGCCAGCTTCTCAGTTTGTCAAGCTGCGTGAGCAGAGCATTGACGACCTGTACATGATATCAATGAATCAGAAGAAAACGAGAATCTCGAAATAGCGAACCCTGATAGAGTCTGAAGGCTCGGATCCCGAAAGTGCAGCCTGTCTTGCGGCTGCCAAGCTCTCAACTTCATCTGCATCGTTACGTTAAAATGCAAGCAGATGACATAAGAACGTCACTGACAGAACACCTATCAGGACGAACACAAGGGAATCGGCGTCTTCAACTAGGTCCTGGATTTTTTGGAAAAGCTTGGTGACCTGAGATCCAAAGAAAGAGTCAGAGATTGCGTCAGAATCTATAGACCATACCAGCTTGCCGCTTTCTGAAAACCACTTGCTAAACAAAGAATGCGCATTAACTTCGACGAGTTGTGATGAGTGATATCTGTGACATATCAACATTTATGCAAGATTGTGTCAAGAGATGATCGATGGCTAGCACCTGTCCTTGAAGCGGATTGCAAGCTTTTGAGCAAGCGCTTTGCATAAGGAAGTCTTCCCCGTTCCTGGTGGACCATGTAGCAATATAACTCTACGGACAAGAATTGATGTTGCCGCTATCACACATTACGAAAAAGAGATTACATACCGATTCCACGAAATAAGGTTGTGGTCGACTCCTTTGTCGGCGAACAGCACGGCTGTCTTCGAGTATTGCAGAAGCCTCTGCTTCAAGCCGGTGGCGTATATCAAGCTGAAAGTCCAAAGATTAGCAGCCTGAACACAATCGGCCAGCAAAGAGCTACCTCTCCCACAGTCCATGGAATTCTTTCGCTGGCAGGGACCACTCTTGAAAACTCGGTAGCTCCTCCGCACCATCCCCCTCGTCATCTGCTGCGCCTTCCTCGTTCAGCTGGCAAGTAAGTGAGCGAAGAAGTTTCGTCAGCCAGTACTACTCCTCGATCCAAAGCAAGCTTACAGTACCTGGTAAACGCTCACTTTGAAGTACACTTGCCAGAAGAGGAGAACGCAGTCCCCAGTGCCACGACCTGAAAGAAAGAAGGTATGTATGGTCGACGAAAACTTGGCAAAACGTAAATACCTGTGTCGCATAGAACGCTTTGGACATTATCAATGAGAAATGCCTCTTCCGTTTGGTGAAAGTTCACAGGACCATCGACGAGGGATAGACCTTGATTGTGAAGCATCCTGCGACAAGAAGAAAGAAAATTCGATCAAACATCATAGTGCAAAAGAATTTTACTACCTTTCAATCGCGTCTTTGACATCCTCGTGACGCGCCGAGCTCGTCGGCTTCAGGCACACCTCGACTGACGAAACAAAACAAGACAATCCAGCATCGAATCGCGATGCCGAGGAAGAGAAGACTTTACCTGAGACCTCGATCCTGTCGCTTGAGAAAAGCGATGCATTCGAGAGCTTCGCTGTCGCATCGACGAATACTGGATCCAATGCTCCAGCGCCTCCAGCGGCCGGACACACATCCATGTCCGCCATAGCTCGATCGCTACCCTAAGAAAATCCCTCCAAGAAATTCGAAAGTTTGATACTTAGAAGGTGAAAATATATTCTCTTTCATGATGTAAGTGATAAAATTACACGATAGTAAATTTTGGCTTTCTCAAGAGGCCGCGGGACTCTAGCATCTCAACTTGCGCGTAGACCCAGGGAGGATTTCTGGAATCGTCAAGCCACAGTGCTTCTTTAGTCGATTTATGGCGAAAATCTGGACGCTTGGAGTTTTCCTGCAACACAAGCCTTCGAATCTTAAGATCTTTCGCAAGTTTATAAACACAACCTTGTCGTGGCGATTATCCCAGTAGTCGTGCGGCGCTGCGAAGAAATTCTGCCATAGTCTTGAGTGCTCGTCTTGCTCTTCGACAAGCACAAACTGATAAACAAATCGAAAGATTGGAAAAGACTCACCGGATCTTCCGGGAACATCTCCCTCCACTAGCTGGAAGTCCCTGACTCGAATCTGAGGTATATGAACTAGAGCACTGATCTTCTCAAGAACAAATACTTACTTTTGCGATGGGTGCACTTCTCTGCATCTCCACAGAGACGGACCCCGAGACTTGAATCCAGTCCCCTCTCCGGACGTGTTGAATGAAGCACTCTCCAAGACCGTTGTGGAAATCCACAAAAAAGCTGCCATTGAGCATTAGATCAGACATATCGAATAGAGAACAAACATACCAGCTCTTGTCTTCCACAAGGAGGACGGCCTTCGCAATCTTCCCAGAGAACACCTTGTAAACAGCGGGATTGCCGATAACTTTGCCAGTTAGAGTGGCAGTATTGGCAAGCGATGGATCAAAGCCAATGGTGGCGGGACGAGAATGGAGCTTTGTGCTTTCAAGTAAGCTGTGAAAGCAGCGCAAAGCGCCAGTTTGCCTTCCAATCCATCGCATTACCAAGCCCTACTATCTGTTCGTTAATAAACCATTAAGCAGTTTCAATAACAAGTTCTTACAGTTTATTGCTCAAACCTTTTCAGGATGCCTTTGGATTCTAGAGCTTGGATTTGCGAAGGAATCCAGGAAGGCAAGTCCTGACTGTTGAGCCACAGTGCTTCTCGCGTCTCTTTGTGTTTAAAGTCTGGAGCTCTCGCATTTCTCTGAAAAAAAAGAACAAAAACGAAAAAGAAAGAGGAAGTATGAAGTCTTGCGGCTACAATCCATTTTCAATACCTTGATTGCTCTGTTGTCCCACCATTCATTTGGAGCAGCAAAAAACTCTAGCCAGAGCCTGGCAGTCTCGATTTTGGAGTCTGATAATCTAAATATCTCAGCGAGCTACGAGCGAAAGTTTTATAAAAAAAAGCTACAGCCTCACCGTTTGATTTCTCGACAAACTTAAAATCTTTAACAAGCACCTGGAATCAAAGGAGAATGTATAAAAAGAGAAAGAAAAAAAGAAGAGAAAGTCAATGCTTTTCCACGAACCTTAGGTGTGACGATCTTATCTCCAGGCTTTGGTACAAGCAATTCTCCTTGAACTTGAACCCAATCCCCCTTCTTAGCATGCTCAACAGCAATTTCCGAGACTGGGTCGCAGAAATCAAGCAAAAACCTGAGAAATCAAACAACATCGCTATGAAACAAACCATTTGAGAAAGAAAAAAGCTCACATACCACGAATGGGGGGTTTTTATCGAGCCATACACGATTCTTCCTTGCTCGCTGTAGCCCCAAGCGGGATCTTTACCTAGAAATCCAATCAAGCTCACATTATTCGCGAGATCCCTATCCCATTTTATCGTCTCTGGCCGCTGGAATCCGCCGGAGAGATCGGTGGCCGCCACTAGAGCGCGGCATTGATGCCTAAGAAAGCTACACCCTAACTGCGGCGCCTGGACGATGAGACTAGTTGACATGAGAAGAAGCGCGCCAAAGGAATATCCAGGGTTTAGGGTTTAAGACAACGACAAGGCTTCCAGATTTTTCCATGGTCATGCATGACCATGCATTACAGCCGATATTTATCCAATTACCTGTTAGCTAAAGGCCTTCTTCTAGTCGAGATTTTAACAAACAGGGATTCGCACTTCTAGGTCCCGTTAGATGAGAATCAATCCAACGGCTGGATCTTGCCATATGGGCATGCATGACCATAACAAGACCGACGAACCCTAAAAGAAGGACCGCCATAGCCATTGTTATTGTGGTTTGGTTTGGTTCGTCGCTGCCGGGCGCTAGGCGCTGGGCGCTTGTTCCTTGGAAGCTGCTATTCGCGGTGATATGAATTCCTGCTCGAGGAAGGCGCTTTCCGTCACGCTGCTGCGGACCATGGCCGTCTCTCCGGCCGCGACGTCGGTGAGATCTCTCAGCACTGCCACCGCCGCGCTGCCTCTGCGAAGCAATGCCGACAAGGTGAGCGAAATCTCCTGCCATGGACGGATGATTGACGATTCTAGCTCGGATTTTGCAGGGCGCTAAAAGTGTTCCTCTCCAGAAGAGGTCTCAGTTTCTTCCGCTGGCACACGGCTCTAGGTTCTTGAGCTCCGGCAGGGCCATCGCTGGGAATGTTGGTTTTACATCGGAGGAGAGGCGGGCAGATTGGAATCGAATGAGTGTTCGTGCCGAGGCTACTGTCGCCGAGGCTCCTCCGGCCGAGCCAGCGGCTGAAAAGTTCCAGTATCAAGCAGAGGTAAGAGCTATTCATGCTAGAACAAATTCTAACACGATGCTCTACAGGTTAGTCGCTTGATGGACCTCATCGTCAACAGTCTATACAGTCACAAGGAAGTTTTTCTTCGTGAGCTCGTCAGGTACTGTTTTGCCAATTCTCTTCCCGGCTCATTTTGTTGAATCTTTACAGCAATGCGAGTGATGCGCTTGACAAGCTGCGATTCTTGAGCGTCACTGAGCCTAGCCTTTTGGATCCTAATCCCAACCTGGAGATTCGAATCAAGGCTGATCAGGAGAAGGGGACCGTGACCATCATGTGAGTTTGCATTTTCCTTTCCAGGTTTTAATGTTCGTCTGTTTCTCTGTGCAGCGATTCTGGAGTTGGTATGACTCGCCAAGAGCTTGTGGACAGTCTCGGAACTATCGCCCAGAGTGGCACTGCAAAGTTTTTCAGCGCAATCAAGGTATGTGGCTTGTGTAGACTGGAAATTTACCCAGCTAATTATACTTGCGTGCAGGAAAATAAGGCTGCACTCGGGGATAACAATCTGATTGGTCAATTTGGTGTTGGATTTTACTCTGCCTTTCTGGTGGCTAACAGGGTAAGGTCTTTTATCTGGTTCACACATCAACTGAATTAACTCCCCCCTTTTTTTAATGAAGGTTACTGTCTCAACAAGACATTCAAAGTCGGACAAACAGTGGGTTTGGGAAGGAGAGGCCAATGAAAACGACTATTCGGTCTATGAAGAAACTGACCCCGACAAGCTTATTCCGCGAGGAACAGTCGTTACTTTGACGCTGAAGGTAACCGCGATTGGCTAAGAGAATGAGTTGAGCTTAATTGTTTCTGTTGCAGGCGGATGATAAATTTGAGTACACGGATCCAGTGAGGATTTTGAACTTGGTGAAAAACTATTCTCAGTTCATATCTTTTCCCATCTACACATGGCAAGAGAAGACAGTAGAGAAGGAGGTACTTGATGTTTGGTCTTGTTTTCTATACAATTCTTAATCGTTCATCAGGTGGAAGACACAGAAGCTTCCGAGGCGCCTCCTGCTGATCCAGCGTCTGCTGCCATCGAAGGAGGAGAGGCACCAGCGCCACAAAAGGTGAACTTCTCGCTGTTTTGTAGACATTTCGTTGATCTCGACTTACACTATTGTTTCAGAAAATGAAAACCATTACTCAGAAAGTCTATGACTGGGAGCTGATCAACGAGACAAAGCCTATCTGGGTAACGTGTTGATCTTGTTTGCCCCAGGCTTTCTTATATGTGAGAATGTAATAGATGAGAAGTCAAAAGGAGATTGATCCGGAAGAGTACAAGGAGTTCTTTAAGACTACGTTCAAAGAGTTTCTCCCTCCTCTAGGCTACAGTCACTTTACTACTGAGGTAAAGGTCAGTTCCGTTCGTTCTCTGCTTTAACAGCGTTTACAGGGAGAAGTCGAATTCAGAAGTTTACTGTATGTTCCTGGTATGGCACCACTGTCCCACGAGGAAAACCAAGGACTGAAAACGAAGAATATCAGGCTCTACGTAAAACGGGTGTTCATTTCCGATTCTTTTGAGGGCGACCTGGTAAGCTAAATTCAAATTTTGTGTTTGTGTCTAACACTGGGATTGTCTTTCGATGAAGTTCCCGCGCTATCTCAGCTTTATCAAGGGTATTGTGGATTCCAACGACTTGCCTTTGAACGTATCACGAGAAATTCTTCAAGAGAGCAGAATAGTAAGATAATTGACTTGAAATCTGATTCTAGGATCTAACTTTAAAAACTGACAGGTGCGTATAATGAAGAAGCGTCTTGTCAGAAAGTCTTTTGATCTGCTGGACGAAATTGCCAACAGGGAAAAGAAGGAGGTAGCTCCACTTGCTGACTTTTGCTAGGACTTGTGCTGATACTTTTTTCTTGGTTCAGGACTACAAGATCTTTTGGACATGTTTCAGCAAGAACATCAAGCTCGGATGCATAGAAGATGCAAACAACCACAAGAGGCTTGCTCCGCTCTTGCGGTTCTTCTCGTCCAAAAACGAGGAGGAAATGACGAACCTGGATGATTACATTCGCAACATGAAGCCTGAACAAAATGCTATCTACTTCATTGCGGCAGATACTGTGAAGAGCTGCAAGAGTGCGCCTTTTCTTGAGCAATTGCTAGCGCGGGACTACGAGGTACGTTTTATACACTACTTTTCATGGTACTAAATTCCCTCACTTGTAGGTTCTGTTCCTTGTGGATCCTATCGATGAGGTTGCTCTTACCAGCCTGCAATCTTACAAGGAAAAGAAGTTCGTTGATATTAGCAAGGAAGACCTCGATCTTGGTAAGCCGTGGTTAGATTTAAGCTTCTTCATAACCTTTTTTTCCAGGTGCTGCGGACGAAGCCAAGGAGCAGGAAATTGAAAGAGAATTCACGTACTGCTGTGACTGGATCAAGCAAATTCTGGGCGAGAAGGTGGCCAGCGTTGGTATCTCCAATCGTCTCAGCACGTCTCCTTGTGTTCTTGTCACTGGCAAACATGGCTGGTCTGCCAACATGGAAAGGTTCGGTTGTGTGTGTTATCTTTCGTCTCTTCACATCATATATTTTCAGGATTATGAAAGCCCAAGCGTTGGGAGATACGAGCCAGCTCGATTACATGCGTGGAAAGAGGATCCTGGAGATCAATCCCCAGCATCCCATCATCGCGAGTCTAAACGTGAGCATTTTCTCGTTTCACTTAGAACGTCCTTAAATAATCTCTCTTTCGCAGGAGGCATGCAAGTCCAGTCCACACGACACCAGAGCCCAAGAGATTGTGGAGCTTCTGTACGAGACGGCTCACGTTTCCAGCGGATTCACGGTCAGTTCATCGTTTTTTCCTCTCATTTCCTCATCTAATTCGCTCGATGATCGTTCTCTTTTCAGCCTGACAATGCCTCGGAATTCGGTGCTCGAATCTACGACATGATCGGCGTCGCTTTGGGTGGCAGACAAGTTCTCAGCGGACAGGAGGAGGAATATAACGCTCCCAGCGCTCCCCAAGTGGATTACTCTCAGGGATACTCCGGAGGATATGGAGTATCGCCACCACCGCCAGAGGCCTCCGCCGCTCCGCCACCTCCGCCGCCAGCTACCGAGGCCGAGGTAGTCGTAGAGCCATCCGAGGTGAGAGAAGGCGATCCATGGAAGAGCTAAAGGAAGAAATCTCCATCTAGATTTTTGTAGCACGGTCACCTTTAAAGAAAAGTTGAATTTGAGTGCTTGGGTATAAGATAGGGTTTTAAAATCTTTCTCTGGCTATGGCGCCCGCGAGGCTGTGGAGAATTTGGCGCTGGCGCTTCCGCTTCTTCTGGTTGGCTTGCATCGATCGAGCGGGGCGAAGGGCGCGAATTCGATCCGCGCAGCGCGTGGAGAGGAAGAAGGATGCGGCCGCTGCGCCGGATTCTCTTGGATCAGTCGCGAGGGCAGAGAATGCGGCGCCGATTTGGCAATTGCCAAATGGCGAGGGCATTGCTGGGCGGGATTTGGCGCTGCTTGTGGATGGGAAGTGGCTTAACAGTGAGATTATCAACAGCTACTTCTCGCTCATCAAGGTAAAGCATAGCTCAGCTCGTTATTCTTCTTTTCCTCATAGAGAATTTTCTTCTAGGTTCGCTCCGACAGGCTTTACAAGAATTCTTCTTCAAAGTAAGACTTTCGATCATTCGTTCCATTCCATGTTGATTGAAAACTTCGTTTTTCCTTTGATCTAATCAGGTTTCGAACCCATTGTTTCAGCAGTTTTTTCTACACCAAGCTCCAAATCGCTGGATACGAAGGCGTGCGTAGATGGACGAAAAACATTGTGAGTTTCACTCCCCAAATCCTTGCTTGAAGTTTTTTGAGCCAATCAATCTTGATTTGCATCTCCCGAACGTAGCTACTTTACAGAACATTTTCGACCACGATCTTCTTTTGTTTCCTGTCAACCACAACAACGTACACTGGTACTATGCCCAAGCTTTTTCGAGACAAAAGCATCTGATTTCTTTGTTTCCAGGTCTTTAGTTGCGGCGCATCTCAAAAACCACCGGATAGAGTACTACGACTCTTTGCTGTGCAAATCGAAAACAAAGGCATACATTCGTATCATGAAATCGGTGTGTTCAACCTTTCCTTTACCTCGATTTTAAATAAGCTTGGCAGGTCGATGAGTACCTTCGTGAGGAGGGAGCAAACAAACATAGCATGACCAGCGTACAGAACTGGCAACTTTGCGTTGTGGACAACATCCCGCAACAGGCAAAGACACAAAAAACGTAAAGAACTGGTTCTAAAACTTGGATGCTTGTCTTTAGACGGATGGCTCGAGCTGTGGTGTCTTCATTTGCGCCTACGCAGAGCATCTAACCCGGGGGCAGTCGCCACCTTTCTATTTCTCGTCCAGTGACATCTACAACATCCAAGCAAAAATGACTACTCAAATGCTACGTGGATTCATCCCTTAAAGAGGTAACGAGCACTTAGCTTCTCTGACAACTCTACTGTGTGGATCTTTGACCCACGCTCTAGATTTACCAGCTTGAGAACGTTCCGCTCGATCTTGGCAAATTCCATCGCCAGCGCTTGAGCGTTGAAGATGAAGGCGCCAAACACGACAGTATCTTCCCAGTTCCGGTCATCGCCCGCCGTCGCCATCACCTCCTGGAACCTGGACCGGCACGCATCAACCACTGACGAGCTCCAGCAGTCGACGTCGACGAGATCTACGCTCGCGGACTGGCTCTCAACGTCTCCGCCACCTCCAGCAGTATCTAACCGTACCAACACGGGGCCAAAGCAAGGAGCCTGGAGGTCCTGGAGTGTCTTGCAGCACCAGGGCAGCCTTCTGGACCTCAGCTCCAGGATGGACATGACGAGCGCTTGCAGCAGATCGAGGATCCTGGCATGGGAGCTCAAGATTTTGGCGTAGGCCTTCTCCTGGAACGGGTCGGTCCAGCAGGGCTCCAGCGCCGCCTCCTGCACCAGCACGCCCAGCTTCTGCGCGATGGAGCTCGCCTCCTGCCTCGCCTGCCCAAGCTCCTCCAGCGCGGACCCCTGGCACCTCTCGCAGCAGCACCGCGCAACGTCAACACCAGCACTGACCACCGTCTTCGCGCACCGCTCCAGCGCCGCCAGCCCCGCCGCCAGCGTCGACTTTGCGAGAACCGACACCTTTCTCGGGAAGACGAGGTACTCGACGACCACGAAAGCAGCAATGCCGATGAAGCTCTGCGTGAGCCGGAGCATGGCGAGGCTGTCGAGCGGGACTCTCTTGCGGTGGCCGACGAGGAAGATGGCGCCGATGAGCGCCGAGACGTTACCAAGGGGACCGTAGAAGCGGTTGTGCTTCATGAAGCTGGTGAAGACGATCCATCCGGCGAGCGCGACGATGGAGAAGATGGGACTGGAGCTCTGCGTGTAGAACGAGACGAGGTAGCCGAAGATGGTGCCGAGCACCATCCCGTGCAAGCGGAGGTCCGAGACGCGGAAGGAGCCGTCGCGGTGGGCGTTGAAGCCCATCCCGATTATCAGCGTCGTCCAGTTGATGTGGTAGCGGTTGTACGTGGAGCCCGCGTAGGAGCCGAGCACCATAGCCAGCGAGATCTTGAGCGCCACGATGAATCGCTCCCGGTCGTAGAGCTTGAGAATTTGGCTGAAAAACCCCCAGTGAAACTCGGTCTCTTTCTCACTTTTGCTCTCCTCGATTGGATCCACGCTACTAATTAGCTTGCAGCACGGACTCGCGCTGACCGGTGTTGACTCGGGAGTGTCGAGCGTTGACCGGACCTTGCTTAGATTCGGTGTGGTCTGTAGCATGGTGGTGGCTTCCGCGAGGAAAAGCCTCGCATTGTGTGCGAAGGACAGGCCGCAAATCTGCGCTTGGAGTTGTGAGGGATCTTGGAGCGAGAGCGCGGTCTCGAGAGCTTGGCTCATGATCTCCTTTCCGTCTTTCAGGAGCTTGTCCGAGTCCACGCTCTCCTTGCCAGATGGATGATTCATCTTTGCGGCGAAGGATTTGCTCCACTCTCTTACTTGTGACATGGTCTCCTCGAGCGAGGCCTTGGCAGAGTCCGAGAGCTCCTGGTCGGAGCAAGAGCTCGAGTTCATGGCCAGCTCCATTGCTTTGACATGTTGCATGAGCTTGTTGACCTGTTTCTCGTAGTTGGACTTGGCTTTGACCGCAAACGGAAGAAAGCAGTCCTGAAATTCAAGGGAATAGGGATGAATAAAAAGGCAGAAAGCGTACATGGATACATACTGTGTTGTGGACTTCGAGGATGACTTTGGATCCTGCCTCCATGAGAGATTTCGCCTGGAATCTCAAGGACTGCCTTTGAAATCTCTCCCGAGTACAGAACATCGTCAGCAGTGCGTCGAACGCTTGCGAAATGATCTCGATGGATTGAATCAGCTGCTGCCTCGCCTGGACAAGCCATTGTATATCACGCAACCGAGAAGATCACATCAATGACATCACACTACCTTAACGGACGCGAACTTTGGGAAGGGAAAAGTGAGAGCGAGGATGGAGCACGCCAGGCCCAGCACCATCGTCGCGCCCAGCTTCAAGGGGTAGAATATCCTGTCCATGTCTTGCTGCCTCGCGTACGCAATGACATGGAGGTGGGTCGCGACGGTGAGCGCAACCCTCTTGGTGAGAAGATTGGAGAAAGACGGGTAGGCGATCACCATACTGCTCCAGAAGATGAACATGAGGCTCGTCCAGATGGACACGCTCGGCCCCAAGAGATTGATCGCGAGCATTCCCAGGCTGAGCCCCTGGATCCCGCCGAAGAGCACAGACCATGAATCTCTCATCACCTTTGCGAGCGAGGGGCATTCGCTCACGATGACGAAGGAGAGGATGAAGGAGAATGCCGGGAATGACGTCCATTTGACATAGCCGTGCGCGTACTGCAGCAGCAAAGCGGCGATGAGACATGCCACCCCTGTTCTTGCCGAGGAGAGGAGACGGGACTTCCACATCAGGTTCCCACAACCGTTAAATCTTTAGTCTTTTCAGGGAGACCCGTGAAAAATGAGGCTTTCCTTTCAAGGTGGCACAGGGGTTTCGGTTCCAGGATGAACTTTTATACGCTTTCAAGTGTGATTTGATTTGACACGGGAATCCAGTGCGTGAGTGGCGAGCATCCACTTTGTGATTACAGGGGACCTGCCGTTTTCAACATTTTACCGGAGTTCACAGCTACTATTAACTCACGAAAATCACATTCTAATCCAAAGCCCAAGCTTTTCATTTTTACTTTTCAGCCAGCTTCACATCCTTGGAATCACCTTGCAGGCCAAGAATCAAATTGAATATATATCAATTTGGGATTGTGTCAATTTCACCGATGAGCAAGCAACGATCTAATGAGATAAGGACGATGAGGGTGAATACTTATCACGCTCTTAGATTTCATTTCTAACTTTCTGTTATTATTACATCCAGAACTAGTGACGTCACTAAGTGCGGTAGATTCTGAACTATAGTCTAGTTTCAATGTGGCGCAATTACTCTCATTGGGCAAGTTGTAAAGCATTATCAATCTTAAAATGTAAAGTATTACACCAACAGTTGTTTTAGACTAACTTATCAATCCAGCATCACACTTTTAAAATTGCTCATTTATTTATCTCAGCAAGTACTATCCAAAAAGAACTTTAAATAAATTTAACATTTCCTGTCTTCACCAACTTGAGAATGTTTCTCTCCATCTTTGAAACCTCTAGCAGAAGTTCCTGGACATTGAATGCCAGTGCCCCAGAGACAAGGATTTCTTCCCAGCTCCCTGTCCTTCTGCCCAGCAGAAACTTTGTTCTACACGAGTCAACTAAGTCAATGCCATCTTTAGACTGGTCTTCCACGTCGCCGCCACCCTCTTTGAGCGTCAGCAAATCTAGCGTGGACAGCTGGAGGTGCTCGCATCCCGAGATTCTCCGAAGCTCCAGGGCGAAAATCACAAGCGTTTGTAGCAAGCCGAGGATCCTCTTTTGAGATCTCACGATCTTGGTAAACGCTCGCTCCTCTAGCAGATCATGCATTCCACAGGGCTCCATCTTCATCTCCTCCACAAGCGCTTCCAATTCCGCCACCGCCAGACCCGCATCCCGTTCAGCTCCCTCCATCGTTGACCCGTCCTCGCAGTCAGCGCACGCGCTGACCGCTGCTCTCGTGCACCGCTTGATTTTGTCCGCGCTCGCGGTAGCTTTGGCTCTCGCCATAGCCGATGAGTTTCGCCTTGGAAGGATTAGATAGTCAACGGCGACGAAGGCTGCGATGCCCAGGAAAGTCTCGGCCATCCGAAGCATGGCGAGCCGGTCGAGAGGAACTCTCTTGCGATGACCCACGAGAAAGATTGCGCCAATCAAGGCGGAGACGTTCCCCAGCGGCCCGTAGAGCCGACTGTGTTTCATGAAGCTCGTGAAGACGATCCATGCTGCCAGGGCGACGATGGAGATCATGGCTGGATATCTGAGCGTGTAGAAGGAGACCAGGTAACCGTAGAGCGTTCCCAGCACCACTCCGTGCAAGCGTATGTCTGAGATTCGCAGGGAGGCATCCCGGCGAGCGTTAAATCCCATCCCGATTATCAGCGTTGTCCAGATGGTGTGGCTTCGATCGTACATGAATCCGGCAAACGCTCCCAGGACCATTGCGAGTGAGATCTTGAGCGCGAGAATGAATTGCTCCCGGTCGTAGAGATCAAGGAGCCATCTTGAGATCGTGCGTTTATCGTTGCTATCATTCGTGATATGATCGATCTCTCCTTTGCAAGGCTGGCATTGACTACCGTTGACCCTCTTTAAATCTTGCATTGACCGTGCTGGTTTTGAGGTGCCACCTTTTAGCGCGCCGAGGAAGAGTCTCATATTTTGGACGAAGAAAAGGCACGAGAAATGAGCCTCGAGCTGCGAAGGATCTTTGGTATCGAAAGACCCAACTGCAATCTCTAGAGCTTCATTCAAGCTGCCGATGATGTCTGTCCCATCCTCCAGGAGCTTATCGTTTCCAGTTCCCCCTGGTGCCATTAAGACCAATTTGCTCCATTCTCTTATCCGAGTGAATGGATCCTCCAGCAAGACTATGGTTGCATGATCAATGGAGATAACCTTGGCCATCTCCATTGCTTTCAAGTGCAGCATGAGCTTATCAAGCCTCTTTCCAGAGATTCCAAAAGCTTTGGCTTTGAAGAAAAGCGCGCATTCCTGGAAACCAAGGAAAAAGTTTCAAGCTGAATATAAAATATGTAATACGTACCAGGCGTGGTATATCCGACACAAGTTTGGATCCAGCCTCAACAAGAGACTTCGACTGGAATCTCAAAGAATGGCATCCACATCTTTCCATGGTACAGAAACTTGCAAGTAGAGCATCAAAAGCTCGAGAGATCACTCGGGTGGATTGGACGATCTGCTGCTTCACCTGGAAATGGCATGATCATAGTAAACTATCAATACAACTTTTCAGTGGATTCTCCCACCTTGGTGGACGCAAGCTTTGGCACGGGAAAAGTGAGAGCGACAAGACAGCACGAGACACTGAGCATCATCGTCGCCCCCAGCTTCAGGGGGTAGAATATCCTGTCCATGCTTTCCTGCCTCGCGTACGCGACTACATGGAGGTGTGTGACGGCGGTGAGCGCAATCCTCTTGGTGAGAAGACTGGAGAAAGATGGATACGCCACCACCATGCTGCTCCAAAAGATACACAAGAGGCTCGTCCAGATCGACACGGTTGGGCCCAAGAGATTGATCACGAACATTCCCAGAACGAGGCCTTGGATGGCACCCAGGATCACCGACCACGAGTCTCGGATCACCATTTCCAGCGACGGGCATTCGCTGAGGAGGACAAACGAGAGAACGAAAGAGAATGCCGGGAAGGAGGTCCACTTGACGTAGCCATGAGCGTATTCGAGGAGCACAGCCGCGATGAGACAAGCCAGGCCTGTTCTTGCGGAGGAGTGAAGGCGGGATTTCCAGATGTCCAATTCCATAGCTCCCGCCATAGCTCAAGTAGGTGATGATCTTGATCGTGAAGCGAGTGATGAGATTGTGGCCGGGTGGCGAGGATGGATGGAGAGTGGCCAGGTCAGGAATTACTTAAAGCTTTTTGCGAGTGATTTGACAGTGGAATCCAATAATTCCATGGGTGGCGAGCAGCTTTTCGAATATGGGAGACCGAAGATGCCGTTTTTTCTCTCATTTTCTAGAGAAAAAACGTTCCAGAGTTTTAACACGCGAGCACTTACGCTTGGGTGGAGCCTTAATTGTTGACCCTTGGACGAAAAGAGCATATGCTTGTCCTGAAGGGTCAAAAAAACTTCTCCTCGATACCAGATCAAACAACGCACCAGGAATGTGTAATTGTCAACTATACCGACACCCAAACAGGAAAAAAACAAGAGAAGAAGAGTCGTTTGGACAGAAATCTCAGCACTGTTTTTATAGCTTAGATAAGATTGCCTCCTCATGGACAAGAATCTTCGCATTGTTCTAACGGTAGTTCAGATTCTTACGGCTTGTGGGAGCTTCTCTTTTCCCAGGTTGCTTTGCCAAAAAGAATATTTGGCACGTCCTCCAGCAAATTTTCGCGAATGAATGCTGCTTGGCAGACAAGTGATCCCTGTCCACTACTCGAGCTGCTTTTCTGAAGTTGGGCTATACCCATGCGATCGTGAAATGGAAGTTGAGGGAATAATCAAAGCTACCTGAAGGAAAAAGACTTGAGACTGGAAAAACGCAGAACACAATCTTTTACCTCTGGAGGAGCATCACCATCTCACAGTGATGGGTGTGAGGGAACAGGTCCACGGCCACGGCCTTCACAGGCTTGAATGGCTCCGAGTTTGGCATGTTCTTCATTCGCTGCCTAGCATAGCCCATGCTGCTCATGCCTTTGATGTTCATGCCTCGACCGTTTTTCTGCTTGTCAGCCGTGCTCGAGGGAGCACACAGCTCGATCGAGTTTGCGATCAACGTGTCGGGGTTACATGATACATACCTGTAAAAACAATGTGGTGAGTTTCGTACCGCTCTAAAAGCATACTATCGAGCTTACACAAGGCGCTTGAGCCGTGAATGTACTCGAAGGGCCTTTGTAACCTGTTCGCAGGTAGAAACTTAGATCGAGTTTAAACAAATAAAATGAGAGCAAGAACTCAAACTTACTGTTGGGTGCAAACCACTCCGTGGAGGATCCACAATCACCACTACATTGGAGAAGCGTTTCTTATCAGTGTCCATAGCATTATCTTCCGAAGATTCTTCGGGAAGGACCTCGTATTCATTGAGTAGCTTATTTACTACGTCTTCGGCCTGAATCAAGGAACAAATAAATAGACCAGTCGAACATGACAATGCGTTACCTTAGCACACACGAATCTACAGTTTGAAATGTCATTGAGCTTCGCATTTGTCAAGGCATCTGTGACTGCGTCTGCATTTATCTCTATTCCCACCACCTAGCGTCCAGGGAATGTTATTAGACGGCACGTCTAGAGATTTTAAGATCTATTATGTACCATGCCAACTTTGCGTGCAAGCGTCAGTCCTATAGTCCCCGTCCCGCAGCATATATCAAAGAGCAAAGTGTTGGGGCCAAGACCAGCCCACTCCCCAGCGAGCGCATACAGCTTCTCAGCCGCAAAGCTATTGACCTGTATTAAATACATTTTAAGTTGCAAGTAGAAAAAGGAGATATGGCAACCTGGAAGAATGCTGTCGGAGAAATCCTAAATTGCAGATCGCCAATATAATCGTGAATATGTTGTACAGAGACTTCTGTGCCCGGAATCGCCAAGGAAATTAAAGGAGCATCGGCAGGAGCAGCGTTCGAAACTCCCACATGTTCCTAGAAATGCAAGCTGAGAGCAGGAAAAATAAAGAGTGACGCTTTCAACCTGGACAAGTAAAGCAGTGAGTGTAACAGGTGGTGATGCACTAAAAGCAGCGCTTGAAAGTTCCCGGGCCATACGCTCATATTCTTTCATCTTTGCGTCATTTGCAATACCTGATGGAGATACCTGGATAAGTACTAGTCAGAATCGTCAAAAAAAAAAAAAGAAAAAAAAAAAAGAAACATCACACGCACCTGCACTACAAGCATAACTTCGGCAACCGTTGGAACCTTTTCTTCACAAGTTCTAGGATGTCGACCTTCTCGAACCTAAACATTTGATAGGGAGAAAAATTAGAGCTGCTGATACAAACGCACGGAAGATTTACCGTCAACATCCGCCAAAAGCCAGAGTTATTTTCCTTGTTCCACACTTGAAACTCAGATGTGCGTATAAAACTTTCCAGTGCACCAGCATAAAACTTTGCAATGTCCGACACGTTACGACAGTTCCTGGGATTTCCAATTGCGGTAATGCCTTTCCTGAACAAGGCCTTTAAGTAAGTCAAATAAATGACCCACGACAAATCGATGATCTCACCTGAACATCCCCATTTGAAATCCAACAACACTTTCCCCATCGGCAGAAGATCCGATGCTAAATTCACACTTGTTACGGTAGCCTTCAACCACAGGAGAAGCAATAATGCCTTCAAAGTCACAAGCCATTCCCCCTGTTGAAAAAAACAGAAATAGAGATCCGAGTAGTTATTCTATCAACATTTACCTTTTTCTTTTCCCGGAGTGAGCCATTCCGGAACTGGAGTACCATGCACGCAGCACTTGCGTGTGTGGCGAACCTGGACGGTATTATCGACCTTCAGGAAAAGAAAAGAAGCAAGTGCAATTTAAAAATACTTACGAACTTTCTAAGCACTGTTGCGACGCCATCACGCTTCTCTCGTAGTTGCTCCTCATACGACTGAGAAGCCAAAGGAGTGACAACCTCACTCACATCTTTCGGCGGCTCGGCATTTTCTTCTTTCGCATCTCCATTCCCAGTTTCGTCAGCCTCCCAGCTTCGTGGAAGAGCATCCGACACCTTTGGCTTCTTCCCTTTGGAACCCGTCATCGCTTCTAGTTTCTACAACATAAACAGATTGCTATCTATCAGTATCTACAGTGCAAAGTTAGAGAAAAAAAAAATGATTTACCACTTTGGCGTGCTCAGCGTGCTCGGCAGCATCGAATTCCACGAAGCCAACAGTCTTTCCCTTTCTCTTCTTGGCCGAGGCGAATTTTATATCCTAGGAAACACAACGAAAAGCCTGCTCATCCATCATTCTACCCAGCTATCTAGAAAGTCAGTCACACGCTTACTTGCTCTTCCAGGAGCCTTTTAAAAGCATCCCCGCCCATAGACCACGGCAAATTCTGGACGCACTTCCTCAATCCCTTGCTCCGCCCTTCCTGATCCCCATCATTCCTCACCTCCTCCTCCTCATCATCACCGGCGGCAGTGGGATCATTGCCACTGGCAGGCGCCTCCTCCAGACCGGCAGCATTGCCGAGCGCCAGCGCTACGCACTCCTTCTCCCCTGCCATGAAATGCGAAGAACCCTAAACCCAGAATGAATATTCACAAAGCCCTATAGGAATATTCCACCTTTTAAATTCTTTTAAACTTGGTACACTCCATTACGCTGGAATGACGCTGTTATTAAAACGTTGCCAATTTTGCCGAGCTCGACTCTGCCTGTTCCATCTCAAACTTTAATCGTTCTTTTCATCTTTCCCTCGATGCGATCTCCTGTGATTGATTGTCTGATTGATCCCTGGAAAGCTGGAGATGCGGCCAGATCCAAGAGAAAGACCCGAGAACGATGGCGATGACGAGATAGAGCCGCTTGGCCTCTCTGACGAAGAACCTCTCTCTTACCAAGAATATCTTAGAATATGCCTAGATACTCTAGGTATATTCTTACACACCTAAAACAGATTTTTTCTTCTCAAACCATGGAGTCCGGATGAAGATCTAAATTAACTAACGCTCCAAAAGTTACGGCACAACCTTTCAGCTGAAGGCTCTAAAATTCCGGCTGCCATGGCGCACGCTCGTCTGCTTGCAAGAAAGAAGGCGGAGGCGGAGCGTGTGAAGGCGCGGCTTCGCGATGTGGATTTCGTCGGGCTTCAGGATCCAGGCTGCTCGCAGGCGTTGCCCTTTCCAGGTTTGAGTACCACCGCCGTAGGCAAGAGGCCACCACGGGAATTTGAGTTTGTGGGTCGTTCGGCGTACTTGGACATCGTGAGGCTGGTTCTAGAAGAAGACCTACAATCCCCGACTCGGGGCCTGCTCATTACTGGTGCCAGGGGGAAAGGAAAGAGTTGCATTTTGCGAGCGGTTGCAGTGGAGCTTGTTGGACGCTCTCAAAGAGTAATAAGCTTTTGGTACTTGGACGCTTGTCAGGACTCGCTGCGCCAAGTTCAGGATTCTCTTCTGTTTGCATACAGTGACAGCGAGGAAGCGCTTGCAGAGACTGGACGCATCAGCTCTGTGGAGTCGTTGTCTGACTTTCTCGAGGGCAGAAAGGCGGCTGGGGATTTTATTTTCTTTGTGAGTGATGGTGAAGGGAACTACGGTGATCAACACGACGATGGTACTTCACGCAGGCGAGCTGAGGCGAAGAAGTGGCTGGAAGCTTTGGAAAGAGGGTGCAACTTTGTAATCAAGACCTTGTCGCCTGAAGCTCATGACGTGCGAGTAGGCGCAAGCCAGATGGAAGAGTACGAGCTGAAAGATAACTTTGGCGAGGTAAGCCTCATTCCCTTTAATTTTTATTTTTTTTCTTTTTTTTTTTCCGGGTGCTTTTTTATTGAATTATCCGCGCTACAGGAGGAGTATTCTTCGTTCATAAGAGGAACCACCACCGTCCTTGGAGGGATGCTCAAGAACCATCCGGACCGTGAGGAGGATGTTCTCTTGTTTGCTGGAAAGCACCCCATGTCCTTGTTCTACCTCAGCAGTGCGTGTGACGAGTATGTACGAGACATCACCGGTACCTCCTTTTCAAGGAAAAGGCCCAGGCTTAAAAATTTTGGGGTGCTGGATGTCCGAACGGGTGCCATGGAAACGCGAGTGTACGAAGAGCAACCAGAAAGTTTCCTAGATGATGAGCAGGCGTGGCAGGCGGTGCTGCTGAAGTTTAAGCAGGGAGAACCATTCAAATCCATACGGAAGTACATCAAGGATTACAAGGGCCCGGAGGAATCTTTACGTGATCCTGCATCGGTGTCCAAGAGTTTTGTCAGCGGAGATGGTAGTTTCTGCACCGACTTCATCTATGCAGTCCATTTAGAGGCAGCTTTGGAGCGTTTGAAGGGCCTGGTTTTCCGTTCACCGACATTCCAGGCCATTGTGAAGGGTAAACTCGATGACCCGGACATCATCTGGCCCCAGATCGGATGGGCCTGCGAGGGGTTTGTAGCAGAGGCTATCATGGCGGTGGGGTTGAAATTCAAGCAGCGTGTGCGTCGTCCAGTGGAGCTGAAGTGTCTAAACGGTGAACCCGTGCGGTTAGATCCAAGCCAGTGGGAGCCTTTCAAGCCTGTGTACCTGAAACCAGGCAGGTACTCTTTCAAGTACATTGACGGGGTTATCGCGTGGGTTGACGAGAAAGGGGTGATGCATTTCTTAGCGCTTCAGCCTGGAGGGACACACCAAAACGGAGTATCAGTTCATGCAACGAGCACAAGTGGAACGCTGGTACACTGGACCCTGCATCTGGTACTATGTTTACCTCTGCCCTGTGAAGGTAGAATCGTTGGAGGAGTCCCGGAAGGCTTCTTCTTCCAGTGGACGTTCAGCTTCTTCTTCCAGAGGAGGTTCATCGCCCACGTCCAGCAGGCTGGTTCAGTCACAAGAGTCGTTGGTGGAGTACCAGAGGGAACAGCTCCAGTTTGATCAGTGCTTTGACCAGAATCTGGGACAGGAGGAAGTGTTGCTCCTCCGGAAGCTCGGGGAAGTCAGGGAGAGGGAAATGGAACGGAGGAAGAAGGCCAAAGCCATGCAAGAGCACAGCTATCGCCAACTTCTAAAGAGCTTGCCTCCTCGGAAATGGGCACTCTACAAGAGACTGAAGACGAGAGAATTGCTGGAAGTGGAGGCCAAGAAATGCGGCATCAGTGACCCGTCCCCCAAGAACTACAAGAACATCTACGTCTTGCTTTCAGCCATGGACGTTTAAATTAGTTTCTCAGGATTTTGGGATTTAACCTGGGACTATTTGGAGCTTCCAGAAGATGTCCATCATCGTCCAGTCTCCTGTCTGGACGATGACGACAGGATCTATCTTCTGCTGCAGAAACTAGAGGGTGGTGGCCCGGACTTAAATCAGATTCAGAACGGAGGTGGAAGAGCCATTTCTGGTGCCTATCTGGTATTTTCAGTTCATCCGGCTGCACATCTTAACCGTTCTACTCTGGTAGTCTGGGGAGGAAAGCTTGTCATGGTGCGGCCGGACAGTATTTTTGTTTTGATCGTTAGATGTTTGTGTGCTTTTCCTTTCTAGTTTGGTTTCCAACAATCGTTTTCCTTTTTCCAGCAATCGTTGAGTGCGAGTCCATTTTGCATAGAGAAGTGTAAAGGATTATAATTGAAATTTTAGTTCTGTATTGGTCATAGAACATACTCCAATGATGCATTGGCCATTGACGGTGATTCTCAATGCAACAAGTGATCAACGTTAACTACATTCCTTTGAACAATTTGGTCACCATGGTCTCGGTATGGTTCATCGGCTCCCTGTTTCCCAGCCGAGAAATGCGATCGGTTGTGGCGTTTCTTCTCTACAGCAGCATAGAACCTGAAGGCTGTTGAGGAGTTTTGGGGGCTGGCAAAGTGGGTACACCAAGCCATGGCTGCTGAAGAGTCCGGTTTAGCAACGCAGGCCATCTTGTGCTACATGTTTGAAATCTAAAACAAAACGTTGTTATAGTACTTTTCATATAACTCCATTTACATATAGCTGCACATTCCTTGGTCTCAGGTTGGTCAACCGCCACATACTCATGCCCACCACAGACTCATGCCAGTTAATTGCCACAACCTCAGCTTGCTCAACTACTACATGCAATCTTATGCCTGGTTTAATAGCATGTTTTGGTGTTTAAGTTGTAGTTGACTTGTGAACTTCATGAACTTGAATAAGAAACATTAACATAAGCACTATACATCTTTGATTATATGGTGTGCTATTTGTAAATTCCCTATATTGCACTTGCTCAGAAAACCCACGTGTGGCATAGTCTAGGTGGCATTCTCTAATCTAGATGCCAATGAGATGGACATATAGACTATAAAATGATGGGTCATATATGTAGCATGAATATGATATCCCATTCATTGTCATTATCATTGTGTAAGTGTAACTTAGGGTTCTTGAGGAGGAAAAGGTTTTCAATTTCACTAGTGTGGTTGTTGTGGCAGTGAAATTGGTTTAGTTTTTTGGCGGTGCCTAGAGACATCCATAATGAGTAAGTCTTGCTTATAGCTCAAATTTGTGAAATTGGACTCAAATGTAAATGTTGTAAACACGTGTATAAATTACAGGATTGCTATTAGGATTCAAATCCAACACTTTTTCAGTTAGCAAGAGTGAAGATGAAGATGGAGATCTTTACATTTCGATGATGAGTAAATGAATTTCTGAATTGGAGGGTCTTCACTATGGTATTTCTTATAGGGCTTCAATAATTTTGTGAGGTTGAGGGGATTTGCTAGTGCAGTGGCATTTCATATATGGATGCACTTGAAGATTCTTGAAACAAAAACCACAGCTTATCTTGCAAATGATTTATATATGTAGTGAGGTAACCTGATGAACTAAAAATACCATATCAACACCAGAAATAGCTCAAAATTCTAAGGGCTCTTCTTCATTTTGAATATGAGGTAATAGTCACTTATGTGGCCACCCTCTAGTTTTTGTAATAGAAGATAGATCTTGTTGTTAGCCTTATGGTTCCAATTATTTATTGGAAGCTCTAAATAGTGTTAAGTTTCATAGACTTTTGAGAATAACACTTCTTCTCTTTAGAACCTACTACATATTTTTTTCGGGCCACATAAAGTGGTGAAACTTCAAACTCAACTTTTTGCAAACTTAGAAAATCCTGTAAATTAATCTTGGCTGTTAGTTTAGATATCTAAACTTTATAGCATATGTGATGAAGTGTGTTATTGAAAGTTCAAAGGATTTCAAGGTTATAGGGTTTAAGCTATACAATTGTGCAAAATTGCAATGTCATTATATTCATGTGTAAAGATAATAAAGGGGAGGCATGACAATGGTGATGCTAATATTAATATTGTGGTGGGGAGGCACAAGATGTTATAGATGAGCTTTTAATTATGTAACTTATATAGACAAATTTTTGGCCATTTGATAGAATGACAAAGAGGAGGTATTAAAGATATTCTTGAAGTAAGTAGATATTAAAGAAAATAGGCAACTGTTAGTTTTAGAGGATGCTACTTAAGCACTAAAGGCATTTGCAACAAACATTTTATCATTTATAATGGTTTCAAAAGCCTCTGTAGCGCATGTGATCATGGGATGAGATTTGAATATATTGTCACTGTGGATCCTTGGAACTTTGAGAGATAAATAAGGATAAAATAGCCACTAAGGGCTCTCTCATCAAGTAATTGCTCCTTTTCCAATTGGTTTAAGGGGAAAGAGATAAGATGGGCTATAATTAGTATCAGAATAAATGGTATAGGTTCAATTCCTATTGATTAATGGCTACTTAAAAATATAATATACCCTTGAGTAAGGTGTATTCCTACCCCTAAATTTAAAATCGTACATATTAAGCATTCATGCGTATGTCCTTCCTCTTGTGTGAAGTATTTATGGACGAAAGTATCCACCATGGGACTATGGTATAGGTGGATAATTAGTTGCCTCATATGGAATCGCTAATCTACACAATGGAAGTTGCCAATGGAAGGATTGGTAGATTTAATGTGGAAACCATGGGACTGGGGTACGGGTGGATGACTAGTTGCCTCATATGGAATAGCTAGAGGTAGATTCAGTGTGGAA